CGCGGATCCCGCAGACATCGCTGCACAGCGCTCGCTGAACTTGCGGCTTGTTGAAAACAATCAGATTTACGTGAATACGAATCAAGAGAGCCTGGTGTGGAAGGGAATGTCAAGCTGTGAACGACTATCTTGAGATTGTCACATACCTGTGCTTGAGAAAAGTGATGATATCTCTTCTTGTGAAAGACCTTTTGATAGGTGGGGATGTTATTGAGCTTATAGACACGGACAGCCGTAAGAAGGTCGGTGTTCACCGTTATCAACAGTTGCTGATGTGATCTGAAAGTTGGATTCATCAAATTTAATGCTTGACAGCGGGTTACTTGACCGAGGGTATGAAGGCCATGACCAGGCAAGACAACATGAGGAGGAAAGCCCGATCAACACTGCCATCTTCTCCTTGAGCATAATGGGGTGCGAGGATATGTTTGAGGTAACAGTTGTTGGTTACATGTACGCCTGAAACACAGCAGCAGTAAAATGATACATGTCGAAAGCTTGAAATCCATTCAGTTCCAAGCGGAGTCTGATCTGAGGTGTCAATGGGTTGGACATACCGCTTATGTTAGCTTCAACTCGCAATGTTCATTGCTTCCACCATGTGGAAAAACTCTGGGGTCATTCACTGGCTACCGCAGCAGACCTATGCATATCAAAGAATTGGTACACAGGCCAATGACTTATGCCATGAACTCGCCTTCAGTACGAAACCAACTCAAGTTTGGAATTCTTCTCGTGGCGTCCAATTGTAAGTCGTTTTTGGAAGAACACAGGGAGGGACCCGCAACCAGTACCAGTCATCCGCGCAATGTATACTTCTCATTGCGAATAATAGTGTTTCATTTCAGGCGAGATGCCCCTGTTAATGGCACTTGCACAGCGAGATGAACCAAAGCACTGGATCCACCACTTACACTTCCATGTTCCTGGGTGTATGATGCTAGCTGCGGACCGTTTTTCTAGAGGCTGGGACTACGGACCCACTGGAATCCTTGTTCTTGGAAGCTGTTGCGCGTCAAAGTCATCATATCGATGAAAAAACATCACGGGACAACATCTCGACAGCGTGACTATCTCTAATCTCGTTTCGTACTGAATGATTGCTAACACTATTCTTGGCACAGCTCTGTGAGAAACCTCACTTGACAACGATGTCTATCCACCTATTACCGTCGGCTCGGGATGCAAACAAATACAGATGTACGAAGGACCCGCTTCTCTATCGAAGTCTAGTTGATGCCCCCGCATTCATTAAGATTGCCCCGTATCGACAGAACGTTCAGACTTGCCTGTCTCTTTAGTCCTCTGAGTGGCCAGAGGCGGAATCGTTTTCGACATTGATACAGGAGCGTGCAACCTGAACGAAACCTACACCGCATTTGACAAGCCTTGTGTTGTTGTCTCGAGCAACTTATGAGACAAGGTAGTCAATGCTTTAGTATTCTTGATGAAACGCCAAGTTAGTGTGTCGCAGCATCAGCTCGCCCCTAAAACGGCCGGTGTGCACTAACGATCGCTCGACTGGTCATTGATCATTAGTATTCGATGATCTGGGTTTCATCAACCTGCTGAAGCTTTCGAGGGTCGCACCTCGACTCGAGATGATAAACGATCTTATAAACTTGTTTGTTTACCTTATGGTCATTAGTGGCGAACATTCTTCGAGTTGTGGCGGTCGAGAAGTCCACTTCTGGTACTGATTTGCATAGTAAGTGCGAGGCAGCATCTGCCAGTTACAACAGCTTGAGTATTTGAAGCTATAATCTTAAGTCATGATCACATGGCTGTCTTGAGCTTATACTACATGTTGTCGGTACGGGGAAGACCCGGAGCTGCCACAATCTGTAAGCAGCCGCTCCGACTCGGAATCGGAACAAGCTTAAGATCTGATGACACTGTTCACCATCCACTTAGAACTATTCCTGACACAAATCACAGAAAATCAGCTGTAGACATGGCCTCCGAATCAACTACACCTCAGCCTAAAGTTGTCGTTCACCATTTGAATGACTCCCGGTCCCAACGCATCTTATGGTTACTGGTGAGTGCGGGTCTTGACTTTGGCACCTTCTCTGGTGATCATGACATTATGTCTGAGCAGGAAGAATTGGAAGTACCCTATCAAGTCAAAAGATATAACAGGACCTCTAATATGACTGCTCCTAAGGAATTGTTTGCTATCAGTCCCTTGGGGAAATCCCCCGTTATAACAGACGGCGATATCACCCTCGCTGAAAGTGGAGCCATCGTCGGTGCGTAAACTTACGACAACTGATAACGCATCTCATAAATTGTTGGTAGAATATATTATTAATAAGTACGGCAGGTCACAGGACAAACCTCCTGATTCTGGAAAAGTACATGATATGTATTGTAAGTCGTGATCCAAATTTCTTTGTTCGCAGTGACATATCACAAGATGTACAGTCACCCACTACTCGGAAGGCTCGTTTATGCCCCTGCTCGTGCAGCAGCTCATTTTCAACATTATTCCCAAAAGAGCGCCCTTTTTCTTACGATATCTCCTCAGCTACATATTCAACTCAATCACCAGCCAACTGGTTACGCCTGAGCTGAAGAAGCATAAAAATATGGTTTGTGATTTTCGGCACCGGGTCGCTAATTAGTTATCTGGCTCATGCGAGGATTCTAGATCGAAACACATCTTTCAAAGACTGGAGAGTGGTTCGCGGGAGGTGACCACCCTACTGCAGCCGACTACATGATGTCTTTCCCCCTAGAAGCTTTGGTCTCGGAAAACCCTGAAATGCTTGGGCCGAAGGCTGCAGAGTTCATAAAAAGGGTGCAGAGTCGGTAAGGATGTTTCTTAATGTTCTTTTCGTACACGTTTTGATCAGTGTAATTTCGCAGTCCTGCTTACAAACGCGTAAGTCTTACGTCGCAGCTTTTGTTTGTTTTGATTGTAACCGTTATCATCTTGGATTTTTTCTATATCTAGGGGTTGGAGAAGGGAGGAGATTATGCATATGCAAAGCTTTAAAATCGAGCTTTCAACGGTAATTAGGCTCATTCAAAACGACTTAACCTGAATATCTCTGATTCTTGATAGTTTGAATCGCAGACCATCCGCTGTTTAGGCCTTTTCATGATCGCGAAGCTTTATCAAGTACCGTTTAACAATATCCAATAAAGTGTAGTGCGTCCTTACTATATTCATTAGAAGTGGTTTCCATTAAATCTCCTCGCTCTTCGGGATTATATAAATGTGAAAACTGTTATATAAATGTTCTGTGACGAATTTTTTAGAAAAACGAATATAGGCAATAAACAGGATAATACGAAAACACAAATGAAGTAATAGGTAAGATCTATAAGTTCCGGTGATATAAGGCTGCAGATTTCTATCGGTACAGTCGGAGAGTCCAATAACACAAAAATATTAGAATAAGGTATATGAATAATATGCTGTTGTACCATGTGATGAAATAAAAAGCAAAAACAGAACAGAACAGAACGAAAGAGACGTATTATTGAAACAGTATATGATTCGAAAGCAAATGCATGCAGTGTGGGTGCAGAGGATAAGGGAGAAAAGATTAGGGAAATGGAACTTGTCTATAATTGGGTGGATGCAATGCTAATGTTCAACGGCGATCATCGCCAGATCTACTTTTTCGGGAGCTTGCCGACCCTGAGAGCCCCTTCTGCTCCCAGTAGGTATGACCCTCGCCTTCGACCCAGTCTCCAGTGACAGGGTTCCGTTCGAAATCGCCATCTCGGTATCCGTACCTTTGCTGCAATAGCCTGAGAAGGGGATTGCGCAAAGCAGGATCCATGCGGACAGTCTCGCCTGGGTGATAGCTCCCCACATTATGACGTGAAAGACTTTCTTCGAAAAGTGCTTCCTCAAAGGTGCAGCCACAATTCAAGTGGCCTGGAGGAGCCATTCGCGGAGGGTAGGCTCGACGCTCGCGACGCGAGTCGTGCCACGCACATAGGGCATTACCTGCACGATTGAGCGAACAGAAGAGTCTGGTACGAGCATCAGTGCGTGCCTTCCAGGATGCTTGGAATGTCGCGGCTTGAGGAGAAGGTGTAGGTAACGGTGAAGGAAGGCTACTCATGATCACATCCTGGTTAAAGCCGCCGGTTGTGACAATTTGCTGGGTGGCGAGTTCTTGTTCTAGTTCCCTGACGCGGCTGCGCTCCTTCTCATTCATAAGCTCGAGCTCACGAATCCTTCTGTGCAACTGCTGGATTTCGTCATCCGCTCTTTCTTGCGTGGGCCGAGTGGTCCGAGGTCGGAGATGGGGATCCGGGTACGCTGAAGGCTGACCGACCCTCCCAGGGACAGCAGTGTAAGCGTCGGGCTGAACATTTGGCAAAGGCCCGCGAGAAGGGCCTGGCTGCTGTGAGCGACCTTGAGAAAGAGGGATTTGCCCCGAGTACGAAGGGCCAAATCCAGGAGAAATAGGAGATAATGAGCCTGGCGATGGATGGTGCTGCCCTGTAATATACTGTGGATAATGATACGGGGCTGAAGGGCTTTCAATGGATCCCGTAGGAGAGGCTTGGAAATGTGGATTTCCACTGTGGTCGGGGCCTCCCGAGTAAACATGCTGAGAAGTGCCCACTGGAAAGTTCTGCTGACTTGATGCCCAGTTCATGCTGCCCTGTGAGCTGATACGAAAGTTTGTGTCCCCCATTGCACCAGTTAGACTGGAAGTAGCCATATTAGAGCTAGATGACTGTGATCTACGAGCTGGAAAAGGGGGCTACATATTACAAATCATGAACAAACGGTATATCATGGCTGGAAGAAAGAATCTTTACCGGCGGAACAGCGCCTGCAAGCGCATAAGGCGACGTGGACGATGAAACATGGGAGCCATCGTCTGATGGCCTACGAACTTGTCCCATTTGGTCTGGATATTGCGCTCTACCGGACCCCGCTCTCATCCCTGAAGACGGAGGAATGCCGTACTGCTGATTGGACATTCTGCAGGGATCTTCCCCTCTTTGGCGGACTTCGCGAGTCAACAGCGGGTATGGTTTAGCTCGCTTTGAAGCAACGTCCAGTGGACTTGGGCGTCTGCGAGAAGGCTGGAGGTCAGCGAGAGACTTTGAGGGCTTAAGAAAGGAAGGTGAGGAAGGCGGAGACAACAAAGAGAGTGCTGTCGGGTCTGAAGAGGACTCGAGCTTGATATCTAGATGACGAGTGGAATCTTGGGCATAATCGAGCCAGTTAAATGTACGGGGGTCGTCCGCTGAGGCCATGGGCAGTGCAGATCAGTGATGATACGGTTGAGCGGGAGAAGTTGCGCAGAGCAGTACCGAGAAAGCTGGAGAGCGTGCGTGTTGTGCAACAGACAGAGCCTCACAAGAATGAAAGCAATGGTGGTAGGCACCGACGGGAAGCTATCCGTCCTGGAGTCGGTCGCGACGAAACGAAGATCAATAGTCGCGAGGGGCCGGGTGATACAACGATGAACTCACTTGACAACTCTGCATTATAAGATGCAGCCAAACTACGGGCTGTACATGTGAGAGTCCTAGATCACATCGCGAGCTAAGCGAGTCCCTTGCTACGTTTTTTTTATTTTTCAGCTCTAAACGTCCGGATGTTTAGGTTGCACTTTGATGCACTGCTCAAATTAGCCTTCAACCTCCATGTCCTTTTTTGGACAGCGCTTCTCTCGCAAGAACGTCGTTCGGCTACCAGCCACAAAGCTTTCGTTACCCTACGTCTCAGCAACATATACAGATCTCCTGATCATCATGTCCCTATTCTTTGCCACTTTCTGTAACCAATCATCTCATCGCCCTATTATTGACACTCGACAAACGTGGCCAGTCAGTCCACTTATCTTGTTGCATTTGTAATTTCCTCCAAAAACATATAGCCCTGAATTTGCATATTTAGTTTTCTCGGATACGACGCGCATATGTCTAAAGACAAATGACTTGATATCGCTATCTTGCTTTTAGTCTAGTGCACTAAAACATACTTACCATCGTGACTCGTGCTTCTCTTGCTTCTTCGCTGGACACCTGAGCTTCCCGGTATCACTTTCTCCTTGCCGTGGAGGGATTGCTGCCAATCTTGCTAATAACATTTCAAGTCACGATGTACGGGCGGGTACCTCGAGACGGCCATAAGATCGTCTTGGTCCGGGCATTCGGGTTTTGCACAAACAGTAACAACCTTTTATCCATTCTATACAATTCTGATGGCGGCTGCTCGGCCTCCTGCAGGAAAAAAAGTCAAAAGATCTTAGCGATGCGGCATAAATGTTCAAGCCGTTGGTGTCGCCCCTACTCTTACCGAGAAAAGTCTGTCCAATAATATTGTCCTTACTGTGCACATCCGGCATCGCTGAACCTTGTATTGTAGGAGCATGCACATTCTGATCCTCCAAATGACACTTGTTCCGTAATATACCATCATGTCCAAGTTTCTTTGACGCTCCACGGCTTGCTGTGCGGCATCCTTGCAGTACATATGGTCCAGGGCCACTATGACGCCGTTTTGTCTCGAGCAACAAGGTATATCAGAGTGTAATAGTAATCACTGGGCCTGCGAAGCGGAAAAAGAGTGTGTAACAGATTGACAGTCAGCGATGGTGAGTCTTGGAAATGGCAAACGACGAACCTTCCATTCAGCCTTAAGTGCAAAGACTCAGCAAACAATCTTGAACTTCATCCGCACCTCCCACAGAAACATGTGTACATTCCTCCGTTCATAACACACAAGCGGTGCGAAACGAGTAGTTCAACGAAACAAAGCATGTGAAACATTTGCGTGGGAGTCAGCTTTCTTCAGCTTTGAGAGCGAGAGCGAAATTCAAAAAATGCGATCAAACAATATTCATCAACCAATATGGTTGCTGAATTGAAGGCTAGATTGCGTTAACAAGAAGGATAAGTACGCGGAGCTCCGCGTAAAAGCATGGTAGGGGGCACTAGAGCACAGTTATCGTAGACAATTCTTTAATTCCAATTTAAATTGTCGCAAAAATCGGTTTTAGCATATATGACCATGTCGCAGCCTTTTGCACGTTTTCAGGCCTGATGGATTCCTTATTTGACCCAATCTGGCCATATTTTGGTTGCGTCAGAGTACGAAAATGCTTGAAAAGGTGCAAAAGGCTGCGAAAAGCCGATATATGGTAAAACTGATTTTTGCGACATTTTACGTCCATGTGAAATTGAGAAGCACTTGCAATTGAGTCCTTGCTTTAAGTAATTTCATCATAATAATAGCACACAGATAACCCATACCGCGGAACGATGGTCATGGCGGACATCGAGCGTGGGCGCAATAATAACAATCGTCGAGACGGAAACGGAAGATGCCCTTGTGTGGTAAGCCTTACGAAAGATCGATCTTAAACAACCAGTGTACACCATTGAATAGACAGACGTACCAACTTGGTCGCGATCAGTCAAAAGACAATCATAGGATGTCAGACTACAGCCACTTTTACTCTTCAGAAGGGAAGAAGGGGCAGAATCATGATTCTTCACGCAATTACACTGTAATCACCGAAATATGCTCGCAGAGTGATGTCGTAGTTATGCGAAGCACTGCATACGGAGCCTATATACTATATGATGAATGTCGTATCTCATGAATGCTGGACGCTACTCACAAGGTAATCTAATTTGGCTGGAGAGCCAATCACGAATAACAAGGTAGCACTGCTCTCTGCGGAATATTTTGCTCTGGACCAAGCCGTGGCACCTGGACCTGATTAGATCGGACGTTGTGCTGATAATATATGAAGTTATGTCACGGACTTTTGCGGGAACGAAAAATAAAAGATGTGACGAATTAGGTTGATATGACATCGCATGAAGAGCGGCGAAAATAATATGTACTGTGTTATTCGAGTTGTTTAGTGAAGCGATTAAGTGCGAGTTGCCCCATGCATGATACGCAAGGGGCCATCAGATAACTTTCTATTCAAAATCAAGGGTCCGAGTCGTCATAGCCTTCTGCGATGGGTGCGCCTGAAATTCCTCGGTGTTTCTACAGATAAATGTATGTTAGTACCGATACAAACGGATTATATGGGACGGAGAAAAGACAGAGCCAGGGAAGATGTTGTCAAGACCGCTTAACCTCTGACCGTGCGCAGCATTCGTGATGCAGAGATAGCCGTCTTCTATTTTCTCATTTAGTAAGTATCAAAAGCTACGAAGACATCATCCAAAGCAGAAGGGGTTATCAGTACATACTCACAAATTTATTTGAATGCAGAACACCCCGCCGTGAGTCACCTTTTGTTCTTTTCAACTAAGCCTCAGAAACTGAACTCAGAGGTTGGACTACGTGGATTTGTCCAGAGGGTCTTGGTACCGATATACATCGCGCCAAGGCTTTGCCTTTGGAAGTAGTTCACTGGAAATACTTTAGTATGGATGTTGATTGTCAAGAACAAAAAACTCAATAGTCCATTCCCCGAGCAGTGAGTGACTAATGTGACTAACCTGGTTTCACCAGGAATTTCGACTTCTCCTGTGTTTGTGTTGATATTGGTGAACTTAGTGATTTCGCAAGCTGGCCTGTCAGGACACCTGTGGCACAGTCGGAACGAAGAAAAGGGATAATCTCTTCGACACACTCACATTCTGAAGATCCTTAGTAGAGGATAACAGTGGGGACGCATGCCTCCGTCTGTCTCTTCCAGCTCACATGTATACTGAATCATTTCTGCTATCCGACATTTCTTTGAGGTCGTCGATGGCTTCAATGGTTCACTCGGTTCCATTTGTTCACTGTATGGTTTTAGTCTGTGGCACCTTCAGGCTGAGTACTAGAAAACCGTTCTCGGACTCTTGTTCGGGCAATAGTGAGGATAAGAAGTTGAAAATCCCACGATATTGAGTGGCAATTTTTTTAGATGGCACGATCGTGGGACTCGCATAAAAACACGCTCCCGAAATCAATCCCATCTTTACACCACCCACATCCTTCCCATCGTCTCATCCTCAGTATCACTAACAATGGTTTTCAAAGTTGCTGGTAAGCTGAGATTTCTGTGCGATTCATGTGGATTTCGTACGATAACGTGTTTCGATTAGATGTTTCTCTCGCTGCCTTTGGGCGTAAAGAGCTCGATATCGCTGAGGTTTGTATCCACGCTTTTTGTTATCTCGTAGCGATTGCTGATACATCTCCGGCAGAATGAAATGCCAGGTCTCCTTTACATGAGACAGAAAGTATGTTGATGATGTCTCAGCATCTGAAGTCTTGTTCGACTTAGCTGATCTCTCTCCCCAGTACGGCGCTTCGAAGCCTTTGACCGGCGCTCGCATCGCTGGATGCCTTCACATGTAAGTGATCAGCTAAAGATCGCTGAAGATCGACTGAGACGATTATTTTCAATGTCCTCAGGACTATCCAGACTGCAGTTTTGATCGAGACTTTGACGGCTCTCGGTGCCGAAGTCTCTTGGTCATCATGTGTTAGTGCTGTTTTCTAGATTTGATTACCGTTTTGACTCATTTGTTTCTCTATAGAACATTTTCTCGACCCAGGACCATGCCGCCGCTGCGTAGGTCTTTGCACTCGTTCTATTTGTATCCGCTGACATCGGGAATAGTATTGCTGCGACTGGTGTCCCCGTGTTCGCCTGGAAGGGTGAGACCGAAGAGGAATATTTGTGGTGCATCGAGCAAACTCTCAGTGCCTTCTCCGGCGGACAACCCCTCAACATGATCCTTGATGATGGAGGTGACCTCACCAACCTTGTCCACGAGAAATACCCCCAGTACTTGAAAGGTACCGCAGATTCTATGTGGCTAAATGTATCTAGGTGGTTGACCTGTAAATTTGTGCAGGTATCCGTGGTGTTTCTGAAGAGACCACGACTGGTGTCCACCACTTGTACAAAGCATTCAGGGAAGGAAAATTGAAAGTCCCTGCCATTAACGTCAACGATTCTGTAACGAAATCCAAGTTCGACAACTACTACGGTTGTCGCGAGTCGTTGGTTGACGGTATCAAGCGAGCAACCGACGTTATGCTTGCCGGTAAGGTCGCTGTTGTTGCCGGTTACGGAGATGTTGGCAAAGGAGTAAGTAAATCGACATTGGGATCAGATATCTTAATAAATTTGATCCTGTTTAGTGTGCCGAATCTTTGAGGTCCTACGGTGCTCGGGTCTTGATCACTGAGATCGACCCGATCAACGCCCTTCAAGCTGCTATGGCAGGCTACGAAGTTACCACGATGGATGATGCTGCGTACCGCTCGAATGTTTTTGTTACCACTACCGGTAACCGTGACATCATCACTGCCCAGCACTTTAACGCGATGCCCGAAGATGCTATCGTTTGCAAGTGAGTTTAGTTGATCAATCAACCTACGCAGCTATCTGATCATATTATTAGCATCGGTCACTTTGACATCGAAATTGACGTGGCCTGGTTGAAAGCCAACGCCGTCCAAGCTGTCAACGTCAAGCCTCAAGTTGATCGCTTCACCATGGCTTCTGGCCGTCACATTATCCTCCTTGCTGAGGGTCGTCTTGTTAACTTGGGGCATGTTATATCAAATCTCAAGTTGTTCGAGATGATCTTATAATTTCTATTTCTAGATGTGCGACCGGTCACCCTTCCTTTGTCATGTCTTGCTCTTTCACGAACCAGGTGTTGGCTCAGATTGCGTTGTGGACCACCCCAGAAAAATTCCCTCTTGGTGTTCACATCCTTCCCAAGGAACTCGACGAGGAAGTCGCTCGTGCTCACCTTGCACAGCTCAATGTCAAGTTGACGGAACTTACTCAAACCCAATCCACTTACCTTGATATCCCTGTCCAAGGTCCCTACAAGGCTTCCCACTACAGGTAAGGCTAAAGTTAAAGATATAATGATATCAGACATCTGATACACTGTTCTAGGTACTAAATGCAGTGTATTTATTGTGCTGTCCGACGGCCTCAACGTGCCCTCGCTAGTCAAGACAGAACACTGGGACCTTCAACGTCCTTCTTGGGTGGATGTTATATGTATGGAAGAGTCTCAACGCTCTTAGTCGAGGCAGAGTTTACAAAAAGGCTGGTTATCTGTGTCATTGTTGTCGCAGGATGATCCGTCCCGGGCCCCCTGAAGGTGAGGAGGTGGTGGGAGGTGGTGGTTTATCAACGTTTGCAGTTCTCATGGGCCTCAACGAGCCCCCTTCATCATTTACATGCACTTCTACATTTGCAATAAATTAATTTCTGGTGTTGGTGTCTTCATGATCACGTCGTCCGTTACGTTGCGAAAATTTCATGTAAAATGAACATTGCAGTCAGACCTTTTTGTGAAAGGATTAGATTTAGATATATAGAGCATGTCGCAGTACAGTCGGTGGCTGTGCTAGCGTCGTAAGCTGAGTAACTCAGGCTTTTACATACTATCCAATAGCGTGCGACTTCACAGTTAGACCATTATTGACATTGCTGAAGATAGGCCCTGAGGTCCACCCTTGTGAATGTAGGACCTTACTCCTGTGCTCCCTGGCTCAAGTTCGATATCAACGTGTGACCTGGGTCGTGAGAGGCCGCTGTTGAGCCATTTGGGTGGAATGATTGACGCTACTGTACCCGAAGTAATTCCTCACCAGGCGGTAGATGATGAGCATCTCAACGATCATAGCAGTATTACCTGCTTGTTTTCGACATCACCGACATGGCGAATGTTTCTCCTCTTGGCCCTATCAATCCAGGATCCATACCAGACTCGGAAGCTGAGCAAGAAAAATCAGCACCATGGATTGTTCGAAAGCTCGTGGGGGTGAGGGGTCAACTGGTTTGCGCTTTGGTGCTTGACGTTTTTGCTCATACGCGAGTCCTTTCACTTAGTCTATGACAGGGAGGATCGTTATGTCTTCCTACGAATCTCTAAGGGCTGCTGGGACCACAGTTGTCTGTTTATCACCGGCAAGTGATGATCCGTGCTTTGGTTGAAGATGAGAAAATTATTTCCAGCTATTGACCATCTATCAGTGGGGCGATTCTTCACCTTTGTTGTTACCTTGTCTACGTTTTCGCGATCTAGCAGTGCATGGTGTCGTGGTTGCGACGGTGAGGTTGTAGTAGTCTAATGCACCAATCAATCCTGATGCCTTGACAGGGGGGCGTGGCCGCCATTGCAGCTCCGGTGATGGGCCCCGTCTCCGATGCAGTTCTCTCTACTGTTGGTGATGGCATTCTTGTCGAGATGGGATTACACACTGGTTTCGAGCTGACTGCCAAAGCTGCTGATGATTTGATCGGCGACGGAGCAATCAAGAAAATGGTCCCATTGTACTCTACGAGACTGGAGACAACAAATGTCAAGACTATTTTGATCACTCTAAAATACAAGCACACCGTGGAAGACGCGTCGTTAGGATTTTTCAGGAGTAGCTTACACAAGTGAGTCAGCTGACTGAAACTCAGTGTTGTTGCTGCTTACTATAGTCTGCCTTGAAGAGACAACTCTCTGTTCTCAGTGGTAAAAGACTATTTTGGTATAGAGAAAGGGTGGTTTTCGCCTTATCTCTTCGCCAGCGGCCGCAGACCCATCATTCCCAGAACCGTGAAACCTGACGTCTTATTCTGCCACGGACCATTCCTCCCAGGTGAGATTGAATCGTTTTTACGTTATTATACTCGCTCAGAATCATATCACGTAGGTGATTACAAGGTGGGAGAAACTTTGCTGGCAGAGTCTGCATCAGTTATCACACTCTGCCCTGCTATTTCTCCTGAAGGCGTGACGGAAAAGCCCATTGCACATCATCATTCGCTGTCGATACCCGATCTTCCTTCTTTGACTCATTTCTCTCGTTCACGTACGCCTTCTCCGGAGCCGACATTGGCACCTCCGATATTGCCCCTCGCGCCGAGGAGGATAGTTATACTGGTACTAGGAATGAAACCCCACAGGCTTCTGTGGACGACAAGCGCTAGACCAAGTGAAAGCGTCATTCATTATCAGCTATTAAACGGCTGCCCCGCAATAGTCGTGCCTGCCAAGGTTGGCGCGCCATTGATAGCCTGGGATGGGCTTACGCTGGAGGATCTCTGGAAAGTAAGCCTGCCTAACGAGGGCGAAGTGGGTTTCGGGAAAGCTAGCACGAATACTACCTTCGTGGGAATTGTTAATGTTTTGTTTGAATATTTGGACTTATGCATTGACTGGGAACGGGTAATTATTCAAGGCGACGAATATGCCGACGAGAGCAAGCAAAATGAAGATGGCAAGAAGGCCTCTGTTTGGGATGCTTTAGCATTATTGGTTGCAGGAGCTGTAAGGAGTGGGAGGAGCAAGGAAGTGAAGAAAGAAGTGGACAAGGAGAGAAGCGGTATTGCAATGTGGCGAATTCCTTGAGAAATGATGTTCGCACTTGCAGTTTCGATGATCGAAGTAGCTTGGTACAGCCCTTTAAGCTTTTCTTGGCAGCAATATACTGATTTCGGTCCCAGTTGTCTATACCAGATATACCAGATTGAACAGTTTGGTGTGCACTTGATTGTCGTGATAATGCAGCGAATGTCTATCGATTCTTCTTGTGATGCTCTGCCACCTTAATCCAGCAACAAACATCAACGTTTAGCCTACGGGTCACGTCTGCCCAGTGCCATCTTATCATTGTCGTCGTGATTTACTCACGATACAACACTATGTCACTATGTCGATTGACTTAGGCTTAACAAATAGGTGATTAATCGCGCCGTATAAGCACAGGCGTGTCTAATTAGAGACCATCCATAGGTTTACTCATAGGTATATCATTCACAGGTTCTGTCGATCGAGATTGATTACTCTGCAACCCATGAGGCTCACAGACTTCCATGAACAGGCCCAAATGTTCATATGTGCTCTTATCAGGACATTTATATCCTTATCACGTGTGCTCGTCACGAGCAAAGGGCAGCCCCAGGCGATACTTAAGTATGCCTAGAAGAGGATTCCTTGTTCACAGACATATCTTGTATTCCATGGCTGACCTCCCACAAGCGATTCACCCTGATATCCTCCCCAGGCTTGACCCGGAGTATGTTGCTTTTCACAATATACATATAGCCCCTCGTGTTCCCCCGCACACTCTCCCTTGGGACCCAGCTATCCGCAATCACCCCGCGGTTCCTGGTGGTTCTCCAATCGTGAAAGTGGGAAGTGTGAGAGATTTCACTCTGGAAACATGCAAACTACGCGGGTTTACGCCAGAAGGTGGCGCCCCTACAGAAGGATGGCCCGTCTTGGTATATTTCCATGGTGGTATGTATCCTTGCATATATGGGAACCGTACAGCTGAATTTGTCGTCTGTATCTCCATAGGTGGGTGGACGCTTGGCAGTATCGATACCCAGAATGCATTTGCTGCCCGTCAATGTAAAGGTGAAAACACAAGTACCTTACAGTATGCCCCCCATCTAACAATGGTGTTGCAGACAACCAATGCCTTGTCGTGTGCGTTGACTACCGCCTGGCACCGGAAAACCCTTACCCTGCTGCGGTAGAGGATGCTGTTGCAGCTCTTGAGTGGGTGTATAATAAAGGTCCATCTGAGCTTCACGTGAATGTGCAGAAAATAGCTGTCGGTGGTTCCTCAAGGTAAACTCCATTCCGTGCGAAGTTCTCAAGAACTTACCCTGGGGGCCAGCGGCGGCAATTTAGCCGCTATAATAGCTTTAAAGGCCAGTCAGCTGACTCCTCCGATCCCTATCTTATTCCAATTACTTGTCGTTCGTGAGTGTACTCTGTCGTCAAATTTAATGGCTGGTGCGCTGATATCATACTGTCGCAGCTGTTACCGACAATACTGCGTCTACGTCAGGCGACCCGTATCCTTCCTGGCGAGAATGTCAGCACACCCCATGGCTGAATGTTGGGCGGATGATGTGGTTCCGTCACAACTATCTACCCAACGAAGAAGACTGGAACAAATGGGATAATTCCCCTATTTTTGCTCCAGATGACCTTCTTGCTAAGGCGCCAGCGGCATGGGTTGGAGTCACAGAACTCGACATCCTGAGAGATGAAGGGATTGCTTACGCTGAAAAGCTCAAGAGCGTAGGCGTACCGGTAGAGATACAACAGTATGAAGGCGCTCCTCATCCGATCATGGCTATGGATGGTACGTGATTCCTCCAGATTTCTGAGGGTTAGACCCGCGCTTATGTGCATGTTCTGAACGTCCTTTCGATCTGAATCAAAAGGGTAAGAGTCATCTCTATTTTTAATTATATATTGTTGTCTAAGCTGGGTGTATCTAGTGTCCTCAAAGTAGGCAGAAAGATGATGGACGACGCAGTGCGTGTAGTGGGTGAGGCCTTCAGGCAGTAGGCAGGGCAGGAAATACCGAAGTTCGCTCTTGCAGACAAATACCTTGTACTCAACATCCTGACCGTATTCTGAAAGGTTGGATGGTTTATCTAGGGAAATCAGGTGTACTTTTAACCACAGTGACTGAATAAATAAATAGGATATCCAGGATGTGTTTTTGGGAAGATTCTTTGCGTAAAGGTGCAATATTTGCATCGTGCGCTTCCCTGAAAGAACGTCGAACTGTTGACACAACTGGTAGCAGGTCTCAGGAAACACGCGGCGAAGGGATGTGGTAACGACATTCGAGTTGCAAGCCGCACCCACTGGCATGGTCTCCTGTCAATATCTAAGTTCAAGTTACCGGCAGCGAAACGCTTGGGAACTATACGCTACCAAGTTCTTCCAGACCGTACTATCAGCGACATTTGACAGGGAAAAGGATGAATGCTCGAGAATTGTGATGCTGAGAGCGCGATGATGATACGGTCTGAAGCATGGAAGCCCTGGCCCAAATTCGCGCCCAAATTCGCTTCCTCCAGATCTGGGGCTACATCGACCAAATTTATGATCAAGATATGACTGAAAAGTGACCTATGACACTGTATTGAGACCTCGTGCCCTCGATTCTGACCGCGTTTCAATAGGCCCGTACTTGATGTTGCGGCCAAGGAAGATGTCGGTACATGTGATTGGTGGAGGAATGCAGTAAGTAGGAGAGCACAGCCGCTCTCAGAAACCAAGGACAGCCCCAATCGAGGCATAGCTAAGGTGTTAGCCGGGATTGGTAAAATAAATAATTTCGTGGTTTGCTGAAACATTATAATTCACGGATGTATCCGTGGTGTGGCCAGCTGCTCCTTGCCTCCGAAATTATTCGCGCCTGGGGCTTCGTCACAGTCCACCGCCATCCTCGCCGCCTTTTACTGGTCCATCCTTGTCTTTTCTCGCTCTGGTACCTTCGGTTGCGCTCTCTTCCTATACTTGTCTCCTAGACTCTTTTTCTATATTTTCTGGTCTTTTGGTAAACAAATCTTATCCATCAATATCGAACTCAGTTCACAGCATCCCTCTCGAGTTGTGAATCGTCGTCTCCTTGTCCCTGCGAAATCAGTGCATTTGTCAAAATGGCTCCTTCGGCATCTGCGTCTTTAACAATTCCCACAATGTCTTATGCAGATCGCGCAAAGAAAGCACAAAATATCAGGTCTCCTAACGGTACCCAATACGTCGCTACTGCACATCATACTGTGACCCCCAGTACTGCCAGTGCATCGCGACCCAACGTCATGCCGTCATCTCCTCCCAGTACGTCAAAATCCAGCTTCACTGCAACAAGTGTAGAAAACGCTTCTAGCTTCCCTGGTCCTGCTTCTGAGTCAAAACTGTCATCACCTCCTGACGCTCCCAGGGGAAAAGATCCGAAGGAAGAATCATGTGGCAATCAAGGCACTACTGTTGTATCTTCATCGCATCTTACATCTCAGCCATCTCCCCAAAAGCCGACTCCTGCGGTGAACGTGTGGAATGTTCGCAAAGAGCAAATGGCCCAAGCTCAAATGCAGCACCGCCCTTCTCAGCCTCCGTCATCAACTGCACTTAAGCCTGCGCCGCGTCAGCCAGTAGCAAACGCTCCTTCGTCAGGATCTCGGAGAACACCTGAAAGTACTCCCGTTCAAACAGACTTTTCTCATCCTCCTCATATCCCTCAGAATAACGAGCAGTCCGCGGCTCCCATAAATGGCGCTGTTGTGGTGGCAACTGATGAGGATGAAGATCCTTTCGTAGTGCGCGTTCCTCCAAGGTTGCAGCGCAAACCATCGCCGCCTGGATCTATTTCCCTACCGGCAATGGACGACAGAGAAAACTGGCCCGAAGTGGGCAAATCAGTGTCATCTACTGCAGCTCATTCTCATCATAGTACGCCTGGTGTAGAAAAGGTCTTGGAATTCAAAAACGAGAGCGATAGTAGCAAGGATGCCGACCGTGTGTCTAATCAAAATGCAGTGCCTCGAAAGGGTACGTTCTTTACTACTTACTTTTTTCTTTGCCATCCTTCTCCCTTCGACATAATTCCTTTCCCACTCATGATCGTTTATGTGTGCATAGAAGTATATACTAATCATCTCGCATTCGATGTGTTCCCGCTGCCCATATAACAGGTGAAAAACCTAAATGGATACAAATCCCCCCTGAGGAACTTCAAGCTACTGCTGATTCTATGCGTAGTTCGAATCGTCATGTACGCAATCATTCACAGCCGGCACAACACTCTCAACCGGGCTCTAATACGCGCAAGCATCAGGCCTCTTCATCAGGATCAGGATCGGGACAGATTTCTCGTGGACAGAGTAGGAGTCACTCTGGCCGCAACTCTATATCACACTCAACTACTCAATCTCGAGGGCAAAGTCGTGGAGGTAGTTTGCAGTCAAGTCCACGGCTGCAAGCGCAAGGCAGACGGCTACCAGATGATGAAGTTGCTCACCAGATCGCTTATGGCATCGACGTTACAAGTCAAGCGCACAAAACATCAGGCTCATCTACGCCGTACATTAACGTAGGCCATACAAGTTATCCTGCATATGTCATACCTCCAAGCATTCGTGGGACTGCAGAAAATGGAGTAACCTACTATCCGACGCCCCCGCCCCCATCTATCCAAGCCATTCAGCAGCCTCCTTACACATACACTTCAAGCTCTCCGATGCATACTTTATACTCTCTTCCCATTCCAGCTTATACTGGCCATAGTCCTGGCTCTCACTCTCCATCAGATATTGGACGAAGTGGTTACACTGGTGCTGGGACATCTTACACAATGTATTCGCAATATGGCCCCTACGGTTATGGTCAGCCGTATATACCGTGGAATGATCATTCACATGCCTTAGCACACGAACATCAGACACATTTTACTCAGTCCCATCATCAGCTTTCATCTGAAGTTCCGATATACGATAAGCCAGAGACTTTGCCTCGGCCAACCATCGTATCTCCCTCCTCATCGAAAGAGGCATCACAGCATACTTCATGGCAAGGAGATTCGAGCTCAGGTCAACCACCTGTGGAGGATACACAAAAACAAGAAGATTCATTAACTGAAAAGCAGCGCAGTGCTAAAGAGGTCATTTTTGGCAGTATAGGATTCTCGGATGCTGACGACAGCGACTCGTCCGCTCTCGAAGAAAAAGAGGCGTTGGCAGGGAAAGATGCACCGCAGGCGGTGAAAGCCAACGAAGGCCTTTGCGGATTCTCCATTGGTGTGGCCCCTGGGGAGTCGGTTCCGTATCGCTCTAAACCTTCCAAAAGGTCTGCGAAGAACAGGACTGGAGCGGAGATCAATGGACGGCCCGGAGTCAATACTACGAATGGTAATATTCAGGACCCATCCAACCATATTCAAGAGAGCGAAAATCCGAATGAAAATGCTACTGACATGAAAGATGAAGAAGAACTAGATAGTTCCCTTGCAGTCGAGACGAAGTGGAAATTTGGCACAATTGGCTCTTCAGGACACGACGACAAAGCTTCGGTGCCGCCAGGGCAGCCAGAACCTGACGATAATGTGGCACCGAGTGGGGCACAGCCACCAGATGAAACACGATCACAAAATACATACCCCTATGACGGTGTCATAAACGTGCCAGTTGAACTCCAGGATGTTGCGGCGAATCCGCCCGCAGAGAACGGGATTTCAACGCAGATCGCGGGTCCTAGCGCGGCTGATATTCCCGGTTCGTCCTTCGAAGGTGCAAGAAACCGTACCAATGCTGTAGATGAATGGCAGGTTAGAGATTTTGGGTATGGTTTTGGGAACGTCAGCAATGCGTCCGCATCCAATCAGCAGGAGAAAGCAGGGAAAGATTGGGACAGAGGAAGGGGCAGAGATAATAATATGAGAGACCGAGACTGGGAGAGAGACAGGGCGTTCGGGCGACCTCGGAGAGGATCTTTTGGAGGCCCAGGCTATGATAGAGGTCGCAGGGGAAGAGGCTTTGGAGGGCGTGGTTTCAATGGCAGAGGTTTCGGTCGTGGAGGCTATCAATCTCATCAACATCAAAGACCAAATTCTTTCCCCTTGGTGTCCCCACCTCAGTTTAGTGGTATACCAGTTTCCTCTGATCATCTTGGCCCATACGTACATGGAGGGCACCAAATGGCTTATTTACCGGCATACGATTCTTATCCGTCTCATATTCCAGCCGTTCCTCAGCCCGGGCCACCAGTACCTCTTCCATTGTCTGCCTTACCCTTCGTGTTAGATCCCACGAGGTCGTACCTTCTTGGACAGCTTGAATACTATCTCAGCCCTCAAAACTTGGCGCAAGACTTCTTCCTGAGGCAGCGTGTAAGATTATTCCATTGGTCCTGTTTTTTTTCGCTCTTACTAATTTAATTTGTAGATGGACAGCCGTGGATGGATATCCATCGCGCTGATCGCTTCTTTCAACAGGGTTAGGCAGCTAACAACCGACTTACACCTTGTGAAGGACGTACTCAGTTTATCAAGTTTTGCGGAGGTTAAAGATGATTGGGTTCGTATGAGAGGGGGGCAATGGGAGCCATTCGTCCTTCCTACTGCACACACGAGTGTTGTCGAGCCTCTTATCCACGAAGCAACTCAAGATGTAGTACAATTTGAACCGCCGGAAGCAGAGGAGGAATCACAAGTGACAGACGGTGAAGCAGAGGAATGTGATGGCGATGGGGAAGATGACGAGGAGGAAGAAGTTGAATTCGTTATTGGTCAAGAAGCAGCAGGCTCGTGGACACCAGAACGGCAACCCCAGTCGAGTTAAATGCAACTCGGACATTCAGAGCAACCTACATAGTTCCACATGTCATACGGTCCTAGTCACATGGAAGACTTATCAAGTCACCACTTACATCCTTCGCTCGTTACAGGCAACTACACGCCAGATTATTCTCTTTCCTGCAATATCTTATACTTTCACCTTTTTGCTGCAATTATTCATGGTTCTCGGATTTGTGCCGCTATTACTAAGGTTTTGTCCAGTACCCATCTTTTACCACAAGACTCTGTCTCTCAGCTACATGACAAACGTCAGCACATCCGGCTTGATCAACCAAATTTGGTACCATATGTGTCATCCCCGTGGTTGTTTTCGCTATCATCTGAACGTACGCATTCTTTCCTTTAGTACTACATGATCACACTTGTTTTCCTGAGGGCTCTTGTCCACTGTGTTTACCCTTCAAGAGCAAGTTGTGCCCGATAGGCTGAGGCTTCCTATAGTTCAAGTTCGAAACTGGTGCAGCTTTGAAAGTAGCACGGTTGCTACACTACTTGATGCTTTTAAACTTCCAAAGGCCTTGTGCTATTTCTGACAGGTGACGTTAACATTACGAATAAATACTTATGCCGCAAATTTTCTGCAACGCGGTGCACCAGCTTACTGAAACTATTGACACTAGGCACCTTACTAGGCACAGAGAAAAGTTACAGTGATTTCTGTAAAAGCTGAGGTATTTAAAAGAGACATGGATTTGAATTGTGTTACGTACACGGTGACATATCCCGATCTGGACCGTGGTCCAGCAAATAAAGCGGATCAGCACACCGACCCGCATCCCTTGTATCCAGTCAATTACACGCCCAAAAGTGGTAAATATCTTTTTAGAATAATGCGAAAAGGGTAACTGGGATAACTCACAGAGACGGTTCCAGGCTACTCTGTACAACCTTACAATATAATTTGGAATTTATACGATTGGCCCAGCCATACGACGAACAACTGGACTATTTATAAGTTATGTTGGGTGTATTGTACCGGTATCCAGTAGATCCAAATTGGATGCCCACGGGTTATACGCCAGCAGACATAGAGCATAGCTCTTGCGAGAGATATCTGTGAGACATCTGAGGTTGTATATACATAATATATCATCTGAACATAGAACATAGCTCTTGTGGGAGATATGTTTGAGGTTTTATATACACAATATATCGTCTCAATATCTCGCGGACAAGAGCAGGGTCTGCCATGTTCAAGTTTTTCTATAGGTATTTTTTTTGATTCAGTTATGAGCACAACCGTTTTATGGAAAACCGACAACAAAACTATTTCATCAATGACAGCGAACAGAATTACAACACTACAACTGATTCACTAGATACCAAGTATACATATAATAAAACTAAGTGAAACTCAGCTGCTGCCCGAGAGGCTATAGAAACGACTGAGGTATTCCTATACTAAACCCCCTACTACTTATAGTCGGAGGTGCTACTCGCTACTGTAAGGACCGTTTTATCATTTCCTTATCTTCTCTATGTCTTGGTTCTCGAACGCTGTCGATGATGAGAACTGTTGTTAGAAAACCACACACAAAAAAACAAACTAACACACAATCCTCCCAGATTCCACGGAACTTGTTTATGGGCTTTGCCTCCCAGAACAGTGGGTGCTCTGGTTGTTCGTGGGGTGGTATATATGAGGATCCTTCAAAGTAAAACCCAGTGATGTATGAGTGTGGGTTTTGAGGAGGAGGGATAGTTGAATTGATAGAAGATAGGGGCTTAGTGACGAGTATAGATGAGCACTACCTTGCTAATTGTAGCACAAGGTAGGTTTGAGAACGACGAGGATGACGAGGTGACAAGGTTCCCAGTGATAGCAGGCTTCTGACACACAAACTGTAGTGCTCAGAAGGACTCTAATCGAAAGGGATGACAATCACTTTCAAAAAGTGACGAGTGACAATGACAGCAGTTAACAGTGGTAGAAGTGGGAAGTGTTGTGACCACACTGGATCACAAGTAGCAGAGTAGTGAACTTGAGAGTAGAGAAGAAGTCTGGATTGGATTTCTTGTTGTTTTTTTACAAGGTAAAATACAGGGGTTTATATAGTAAAAGAAAAGTAGGCTATGCACAGTATAGCTGTGCAAAAAGAATGAGAAAGAATATGAAGGAAGGAATGTACGCTGACGAATCCTGCGTAGGTAGTACAGGATAAGATTGTCAAAAAAAAGGAAAAGAAAGGGATAGAACAATAAATGCTGTGAGTAATGTCACAGGTTTGTACAGCCATAAAGTAAAGTCCAATAGCAAAAAGAGAGCAGGAAAATCATGATGTCATGGGAAGATGCAGTAAAAAAGGGCAAGGCAAAACACTATCAGTATCAACACAGTTCCTTTATTGTCAGTCAGGCATTCTAAAAAATATGTGTCCATAAAAATGATTCAAAATCAAAAATAATTGCACTGTAAATGAATGTTCTGCTGAAGAAAAAGAAACTGGAGCCACCGGTCCACCACCTAGTCCAAATCCGACAGTTCCATGGCCTTACCAATGGACTGGTTGTGTTGGACCACCTGATCAAACGAGGGAGGGAGAGGAGTAGTTCCAATTTGGAACAAGTGAGTCCCAGGCAGCGTGTGGTAGGTGTAGCTGTAGCGAAGACGATGGACAAAAGATAAGTGTACCCAAGTGAATGGGACAGCGATGAACATGGGCGACGCAAGGGGATGAACCTTCTCCAGCTCAAAAACTACCCACCCACGCTCCAACCAGGCAAGACGAGCGGCCGATGTTTTGATAGTATATGATGGCAGATCGACATCATGAAGATGGACCTGTTGCCCTATTTGGACCGGCTGCCGGGGCTTTGCTGATATCAGCAGTGGCATGTGGTAGTCAACGGATTGGCGACGGAAGCGGATAGGAAGTGGTGACATCAGAAATGGTGGGGGTGCAAATAAGATGAGGAGGAGGAGGGTGGAGGTGACGAAAAAGTGGATTAGAATGGGGATCCAGAAACGACCGTCAGGTGAGAATAAAAAGGAGAGGAAGGGGCCCATGGTGGGGCTAGGCAAAGGAAGGGGAGTAAGGGAAACGACAAAAGCGAGGGCGCAATGCAATGTGTAGCCAGTGGCGACGTGAAAATTTGCCGAAATGCCGAAATGCGGAAAGTACCGGATGGAAAAGCAAAGGTGAGTGTGACTGGATTGCCTAATAGAGGTGGTGCTGATCAGCCACAAGTTCAAAAAGGGCAATATTAATTACTATTCCACGTGGCACTGTGCCTGTGTGGCGCAAAGGCGAGTCTTTTTGAATATTCGCTTCATTATTGACACCTGTCCATGCTACCAATCAACTTTGGTGCATGACAACAGCACCCAGACAGGTGACATATATTTTAAGCTCCTTGATATCAAAGCCAGTTTAGTCCAGAAAGAAGTCTCACTAGAGGCGTCTGTCCTTGAAGAGGCAGAGAAGCAGCTTTTAACAAAGGATTTTGAGGTAGTGGATATAACCATGGTTTCTCTACGAAGTGTACTGACTTTAATGTGAAGCTTGGACTGAAGATACGCTTTACAGGGTGTTTACTGTCCCCGGATATTACAGTGTATGTGTCTGAGACACAGGATCATGTTCTGGTATAGTTATTCTCTTCTTTCTTGCACTTTTTGTGATGTTGGTCATCTAGATTCTCCTGCAAGACCATTGTGACCTTTTCAAAATCTCAAAAGTGTTCTTTCAGGACTCTCAGCTACGACTTCATCTAGGAAAGCTTGTAACCAAGTTACTATCAAGCATTCGTGGCACATTTAAAACAGGGGCAAGTTATATTTCATTTCCAAAATCAAACCTCAGCTGAACCAATTAATAGTTAATTACGTCTATCATTGGCCATACCTCCATTATCAAGGTCGTTAAATCATTGGCACACCATGGGATAGAGATTGACTCATCTCATTGGACTAGGTTTGCATTACTGGTATGACAATTTATTTATTTGTGTATCCCAGTTTGATGCAGCCCCAGTGTCATTGTCTTCACATCTTCCTCCTTGGTGTGTCTGACTATGATAAAGTTGATCCGGACATTATATTTTCACCTTTCCTTATTCCCCATCTTCCAAAAGACCTTCGCAAAAAGATTGAGGACGAGCTCAACATTGACATTGAGTTATTGGAGGCTGGGATGTATGGTGAAGACCTAGACGCCGATGAAATTGACAAAGAGGGACCGTATCTCAACAATGGTAACAATGTCCAAGACAAGTATCACAATCATATGCGTGGGCTTGACAGTGGGAGCGACAAGGATGGGGAGGGAGAATATGTCGATGCATTTGGTAATCCTCTGGATGTGTTTGGCAATCCTATGGATGATGAGGAAGCAGATGCACCAGGTGAGCATAATGACCATGATGAGATTAATTCTGGTGGCAGACATGAACGTGGCAATCGGGGAGATGATGTACATGAGAACAAAGAGCTGCCCAAAGCCGAAGTCAAGGAAATCAAAAACTTAGACTTTGGCCTTGGAAATGAGCCTGCACTCTGGTCCAAAGGCAAATTCTGGAACTTTGTCGACTACTTGCTCAACAAGAAGCGTACGCAGGCAAAAACAAGGGCAGATAGCGAAGATGGAGAAGACTATGAGAGTGAATATTGTCGGTATGTACCACAAGGATGATATTTCTTTCAATACTCATGTATGGAACAGGGATATGGTCGATTGTTTCCAAATGGATCTTCAGGAATTCCCCAGACAAAGGAAGGTTCTCAATCTTGCGAAAGCCTTGCAGCCTCCCTGGCAGAATACCATTCAGAAGAAACTTGTATGGTGAATTCATTAGAGGATACTTCATCTATGAGTCAGTTTCTATGATCATTTTAGTCCTGTTTTTGAGTGTAGTATATTAGTACCCATTGATAGTTGCAGACATTATAAAAATCAGGAATTTTCTTTATACAATATGCATATAGTCAAAGATGGTCGAGATATATTTGCCAGGTAGATCATATATCAACTAGTCAATATGACATCTATATACGCACACGTAGGCAACTTGCATATCTGACACAAAGCATAGGATATGTCTTTCCTCAGATATAGAATATATATCTCACCAACTATGTAGTCTCGAGATAGCACGGCAACATAATCTGTAACCCCCCAACACGATACGGGGTGAACACTTTGACGTGATCGTGCAGAGACCAATTTGGTCTTGTCCCAGTGTGCCATGGCGATACCGATGGCATGAAAAACTATTATTTATTTTCTTTACAGCGCGAAGACCATATGCCGAAATCCAACCGACATTAGTCATAGCCTCGCCATTCTTTATATCGGTACGATATATCCCACTTTTTGGCGTGTAGCCCCAAGCAGCGCGAATCTCGCGAACATAACAACCACGCTGTGTACGCATTGTCAGAAGGTTAAAATATGTCTTCGAATCAACCGCCATGGCACTCGTATCCCACAAGATTTGCGGAGTTTCAGGTTCGTAGACGAAATATCCTTTAGCGTGTCGTAAGTCTGCACTATAGCTTAGCCGCGAATATATGCGATGCGATGGTTTGAGTCCGAGTCGTCAGGCTCACACTATTACTAACCTAGCCCATCTACATAATTTTATCGCTCTTCATCGCAGTCTCGTAAATCTCAATCTTTCGGTCCTTTCTCTCCTTTCATCCTCTCCTTGTCGCAAGTCCGTCTAACTGGATCGGTTTGAACCGTCAGCCGCATCCCAAGCATTCTACAACACCCTATCTTGACCGTACCCGTTTATGTCGCGACATTTGCTTTCAAAGTCGCATGATTCCGCCTGGCCTCCACCTCCTCCTGCTCATGAATCTGATTCCGAGAAGCAGATTCGTCTCGAGGATGAGCGAAAGGCTAGAATAGTCAGCGAATCGATTGACCGTTCTATTGAACTAGAAAAGTCGGAGAAGCAAAAGCATCGAGCACAGATTAAAATACTCGTCCTAGGTGAGATGTTCTTTTGGGCTCCTTGTTGCACGTGCTTAGGCCCAAAACACATCCCGTGATTCCCAGGTCAATCAGAATCTGGAAAATCAACAATACTCAAAAACTTCCACTTGTACTTCCACCCACAGGCTTTCCAGTCTGATCTCAGTGCATGGAGAGCTGTAATTCGATTCAACCTAATCCGTTCTGTAAATTGTATTCTCGATCTTCTGGACAACAAAGGATCTCGGCCATCGAGTACAGACTCTGCTTCAAAAGCCATCTCAGACCATCTCCGCCGTCTAGCTCTTAGGCTAGCACCTTTGCGCCACGTAGAGAATTTGTTATTGCGACGACATTCTGCTTCGGGACCCGTTTCGGGAGATGAAGGGAATTCATTTCCGACTCGTGGCGGTGCATCCATAGACTCGCCTCTCTATACAGGCTGGAAAGCACTTTCAAAATTTAAACGCTCATCCGAGTCTAATGTGTTCGGCGTGGATGACGTAGACGATTCTCAAAGAGTTATAGAGGCTTGCAAGGATGACATCGTGTCGTTATGGGCAAACGAAAGTATTCAGGCTACTTTAAAAACCCGGAGCATCGCATTGGAAGAACAGTCGGGCTTGTCAGTTTGTTTGACAGATTATCCTGATAGTCGATGACGCTGACAGTAAACAGCTTTCTACCTGATGCGGGTCGCGTTGCTGCTCACGATTATATGCCAACCACTAGTAAGTTATCTCTTGAAAGTCTCGAGTGACTTGTAATAACAAGACTTGTTAGATGACATTCTTCGGGCACGATTGCCAACCAGTGGCGTCGAAGAGCATCGGATAGTCATCAACGAAGGTACGATTTCTCTATCCATTTTTTCGGCAATTTTTTTTGATCACCGTGACCTGTGTCTAGGGTCTGGCCATGGGAAAGACTGGTTGTTTTATGACGTTGGGGGTGCCGGCGGACAACGAGGTGCGCTTAATTTATGTCCCGTTGAAGTATTGAATAATAATAGATGTTTTAATCAGCTGTTTGGGCGCCTTTTGTTGATGATGGTATTGAACTTTGTGTGTTTGCATTGAGGGAATGTTCTTTACTGATATGGTATTTTAAGTCAAAGTGGTAATATTCCTTGCGCCAATTTGTGCTTTCGACCAGCCTCTGGACGACGATCCGAGAACAAACCGACTAGTAAGTTCATTCAACTAACATCTATTATTGCTTTAAAATCTGATGAAATCGTATTGTATCAGACTGCTGTATTCGATTCGTGGAAATCAGTGTGTGGCAACCAGCTTCTTTCTGAAGTCCACTTCATCCTGCTTCTCAATAAATGCGATATCTTGGATAAGAAATTGAAATCTGGTGTTCCATTTGCCAAATATGTTTCATCGTATCGAGATGCTAACGACACACGTTCTGTCACCAAATGTGAGCAGCTCTCTCAATAAGCTGTCGCGCGCCGAAAATCAATGGTTTACAGATCTTGATCGCAAATTTGAACACATCCACAAAACCATCTCTCCTTCACCGCGAAAGCTCTACACCCACATAACTTGCGCAATTGTAAGTACCCGTATACCTCAATGATCCTTGTTCATTTATGTTTTCCAGAATGCCAAAACGACAGCAACCGTGATCAAACGCAGTGAGTCGTTCTCATTCTTATCCGTGGTCTGAATCTGATAACCTACAACAGTCCAGGAAGGTGCTCTCTTGCATAATCTTCTCACCGCCGGATATCTTTGACCATACATTTTCCTTGTTACTTCCGTATACTATACCTGCTCCTGTGCACTGGAGGCCACGAGGACACTGGATACCGATACCTTAATATCAATTAATATTCCCTCGCACTGACACTTGAGCAGTCAAGTGTTAGCACTACATCGAGGTTGTTGTATGTTGCATAATTCTGTAGACCAGGATATGCCACTATGCTATAAGCTGACTGACTGATATATATATGATTCCATCACTGCGTTTTCGAAGCAAGTTTTCAAGTGTTCCTGGTTTTTTTCTGAATCATCAATGATTTCTAACCCTAAACTCGTTGTTGGGGCCATGTCCATATTGTGCAAGTGTGTGGCGCCTGCGCCGCAGTTACGAGAATATAAAGAACGCTGTGCAAAACGCTTGGGCTTTTCACTTGCTCAACATCTTCACCATGGTTAAGACTTCCGATGTCCTTCTCATTCTCGTCAGTAGCACTCTCACCAACGCATTATATTGTGACAGTGGTCAGCTTAACACTTTACCGTGTCTTTAGGTCGCCATCCTGTTTCCTCCAGCTTCAGTAGCATTCATCACTGGGTGTAGCTGTGACTTGCTTATCAACATCCTCCTCACCATGTATGTTATCCTGTCTCAAATGTCAGAAGTGGTAGATGCTGACAAGCCGATAGTCTTGGTTACTTCCCAGGACATATAGTATGGTTGACTTTCTACATACATTTAGCGCCCTTGCTCATCTGTTATTCTGTAGCATGCATTGCTGGCTAATCTACAAGAAAATGAAAGCAGAAGAACGCTATGGAAGGGGTGGTTTCTTGTGTGCGTATTACATATTGGGCACTGCTTTTACATGTTCTGATGAACTCTTATCTTTCTCTTTCTTTCTGCAGACACTGGGAACGGCCAATACGCACCACTAAACCAGGGCGGCTACAATCAAGGCTACGTGCCAGGCCAGGTGAACTACGGTGCTACGAATTGATGATACCAAGTGGCTTAAAGACTAGACCGTTGTTTCATCTTTGGGTGTCTGCGATTCTCTTGGTGTTCTGCGCCCGTCGCCTGAATGTATATGTATTCTATGTTAACTTGTGATGAAAAATTGTACTGGATATTTACTTTGAACAGGATTGATCGGAGTTGGACTGAGAATGCAATGATTAAACCATTTTGGCCTCCACCATCATGCGCCCGAAGTCATCGAGGCTCATTGACTTGTCAGGCGAGGAAGAAAACGTCTCGAGCATTTCAACAATCTTAGGTTGAGGCGCCCCAGTATTAAAATGAATGAAATAAATGTACAGAGCTGGTTGTGACTTACATCTTCAGCTTTCAATTTTTCCTTTAGCATTTTTGCGACTCGCGTGATGTCTTTGATCATGATCTTTTGTTGGTCTAAATCCGTGTCTGGAACGTCAGGGAAAATTAAAGAAAATGCCTCGCGGCATTCGTGTTTCTGGTGGGAATTCAGTTGACGTGGGTCCTCATTGTCAAAGTGCGGTAGTGATGATCTCGAGGCCCTAGATTTGTGGGACTGCTTGCGCGAAGTAGATGCAACACCCTCCAGATACTCCTCATCGGACCCAGATACGTTGCTGAACTCATCTTCGTCTGACATGCGATAGTCCTCGCCATCATCATCTGCATCCCCAGGAGCAAAGTCTTCGTCCAGACCAATGTCTGCAGTATTCAGATCGTCTTCGTTATCTTGTTCCTGTTCAAGAAGCACAGTGCAAACCGCCCTCCAGTCTTTCCTACTAACCCCTTCCTCGTTAGAGCGCGCTCCCCAGCCGGAAGCAGCCTGACGGAACACAGAAAGCACTTCTTCATCGGCAGGCACATCGAGAAGCTGTAGAGCATGCGGGACGGATGACAACGGTATACGAAACTCAAGAGCTTCGGTCTCAAGGTTGATATTTTTGGCGGGGTCTTGGTCGTCGATCGCTAGTTCACTCCCATCAGAAACTTCATCGACTAAAAATCCTCCCGGCTCGATGTCTTCTGGTATGAAACCGCCAGCATCCTCTATCACAAAACCGCCTGGTTCTATGGCGTGGTCTACTTTTCTTCTTTTGCGAGGGTGCTGTTTGGGAGTAGCACCGGAGGCTTCGTCGAAGGCATCGTCTATGCGACGTCTTACGTGCCTGGAAAGAGCAGCAAAAGTCGTATCGTCGACTGGATTTTCTACGTCTGTCGCGGGAGTCATGGCGATGCCAGGGGTCGAGTTATAATTTTCGAAATTATTTCAGTAGATATAGTTCCCAAATTTGATACAGGCCGTCAGACAGCGTGTATGTTTGTTGAGCGTTATTGGAGAAGTCATTTCCGTTTGATGGGGTGCAATGGGCACTGTCCATATGCGGTATGTCTGTTCCAGCCGTGTCACTCAATTTGGGCCCGGCAACGGAGACAATCCGGAAAGCATGGTCATAGGCACTGCCCAGTATCAATCCTAACTTAAGAATGCACACATTGGAGTGATGTGGCTCAGGTGATGAGCCGCCATCATGATGGCAGCTTTCTCAACACTTAACCGGTGAGAACCCGAGAATGAATGAAACATGGTCAGATAAGAATGTACGTTACTATAACTTTTCTCTCAATAATCCCGCCCGTTTCTGACCTTCCAGTCACGGTCATGTCAGAAAACGGTGACCTCGATCACCGCTCAACTCTTGATGAAGAAAAGTCTTTGGCTGCCATGCTTGACGATGAAAAGGTCGATTTGTTCTCATATCACGAACTGAGAGCAGGACGACTGGTCATTGATCCTGAGTGCGTATCAGTTTCCACCCTCACGATACGCGCTCTCTTTAATTCAGTTTATTAGACAGGCAAAAGTCGAACTGGGAGAAGTGTTGTACTCAAAACTGAAGTTGACTGCAGATGGTACCAAAGTTCTTTGGCCCCAACCCACGGACGATCCCAATGACCCTCAAAATGTGAGTGATTTCTTTCGGTATTCGCAATGCATAAACTGGAAAAATTCTAGTGGAGCGATCGACGCAAAGCAGTACAACTTATAGTGATTACGCTCGCCTCATTTATCCCGGACTTTGATTCTGGCATAGGTAGAAAAGGCCATCGGAACATCAACGTATGCTCTAATCATGCTTTTCGACAGGCATCGCCGCTCTTTTCCCGCTATCTGTACAATTCAACACTACGACCGGCGTCATCAACAATCTGACGTCTAAGTATGTATTTCCAGAACCTTAGATGACATCTGCTGATACTGTTGACGTGTAGTTGGAGTGTATTCCTATTAGGTAGGAGACGCTACTCTTGTTACTGCGAAATAAGCTAATTATAGTTGTCTAGGTTGGGGTGGCATACTTAGTGTCATGCTTATGAGACGGTTTGGACGACTTCCCGTACTATTCTGGTCTCAGGTAAGCATTGAGCTCGTTGCAAGTATTTTTCACTTCCTGAAGGATGCAAAGATTTTGGCATTAGGTTTCCTTATCGGTGCTACATTCGCACCTAATCTCAAGACCTTCGCAGGTATATTGTTGCCTAACATCAATTTCGCTTTTGCAGTACTGATTTCATTTTTTGCAGCTATGCGTTGTCTCACTGGTTTCATCGGGTAAATGCGCCCATTCTCATATCTTTGAGCCTCTTTACTCAACTCTTATTCAAGGTCGTGTCCTCAGGTTACGGTAAAACATGATTCGTTTTCTTTCCCTCTCTTTATTTAATTAAGCATGTCAAAAGGGCCTTTATGTTATCACGGATATATTCCCATTCCATTTGCAAGCGCGGAAACTCAATATCTGGGCAGCGGCCTTTATGTTGGCGCCTTTGGTATCGCCATTCGCATTTGGATTCCTCGTCGCTCGAGCCAGGTAGGCTATATGTATGAGACATCCCGTTGTACGCGTCTTATCCTTGTCTTTAATTAGCTGGAGATGGGCATACGGGACCGGATGTCTGTATGGTGCTGTAGTTGTTTTGTTAATTGTGTTCTTTATGGAAGAAACGTATGTTTCAGTGATTTCAATCGGTTTGGAATGACTGACGATAAGCTGTCTACAAGGATGTACGATCGTGCTTTGAAACCTATCCCACCACGCCCAAGTACAGGTCTGCGCTACCGCGTGGAAACATTAATCGGTATCACGGGATGGAAGATGGCGAAATATAGGGCCTCAGTGGCCGAGGTCATATTAGCCCCTCTGAATGTAGTTTGGAGGCCCCAATTTATTCTCGTAGTCGTTTTTGAGGTGAGTAGTGAAGCCTCGGTAGCTGTATTTGGGCTGACGACCCTTCCCAAGGCTATGATATTCGGTTTTTCACTTGGAGTAGCAGTGAGTTTTACTCGTCATATCTCCTATGATGCTAGACTGACTCGAGCTAGGTCACAAATGTTGTCTTCTTAAGCTCCCCGCCACCGCTTGGCTTTGGCTTTAGTCAATATGCTGTTGCAGGCACCTATGGCACTCCTATTGTAACTACACAGCGTTTTATACATTTCTGGGCCTAATTGGAGACCTTAGGTAGCTGTTATTCTCGGCGAGCTCACAGGTCGTTTCCTGAATGACTGGATCATGAATGTCAGTATCAGACGCAACAATGGGGTTTTCGAGGCTGAGAGCCGGCTGTGGTATGTTGGTTGCGGTTGCCTTCATGTGGCGTTTTAGCTTGACATCTTCACCTTAATGTAGGGCAACGTATATCTCTGTGCCTTTGTACGTCTGTGGGTTCCTGGCTTTGGGTGCTGGCATACAGCACACGATCAAGGCAGCTGTCATCATGGGATGGGGCATAGCTATGTTTGCATTGATGATCAACACCGTTGTGGTTTGTACGTGTCATTTCCTCTCAAGCTGCTAGTTTTAGGAGGAGGGCTGACTAATTATTTTCTTAGACGCTTATTGCAATGATAGCTTCCCTGGACAACAGGTAAGTGATTATTTCGAGGAACTTGATGTCGTAGATCATTCATCTTGATTTGTCACTGTTGTAATTGTTGTACAGGGAGAAATTAGTGCGCTGCTGACCCTGGCAAGAACCTTGGGTGGTATGGACTATATCATTCTAGGATACTGGCACCGAAATTCATGACGTCCTTTTCTTCAGGTTTCGCTGTGGCTTATTTCCAGGTCCCCTGGGCGACGAAGGTAGGCGCTCTGGAGACATTTGGAGTTGAAGCAGCGTACGTCAAATTTCTTTCGTGACGATGATGTCGAATTGTCTTTTATCTGAACTGTTTCGCAATGCGTTGCAGGATCGTCTTTGGATTATTTGTGGTGGCCGTGCCGATTACTCAGCTAAAAGGCAGATATTTCCGGGTGCGTACATCAAACGACAATTTGATTGGCCAATTTTGATAGATGAGGCTTTTCGTCAATTTTAGGAGCGGTTCTCCATTTGATGGGATGGATATATGAAATAAATTGATACCTCGGCATCTCATGACGCCCTTTTTCTCTTCTCTCTTTCCTTTTTCCCTTTCCTTTTTCATCTATCTTTATACAATCTTTGAGCACATTATACGTTAATCGATCCGTACGGCGTAACAGGAAGAATGGGTGTTGACGCGTTGACGTCCTTTGTTGCGTTTGTTTTACGGACTGTACACGTAGTTATATATCATGGTAATCAGCCGCGAATGAAATTCTGGCTTTGAGCTTAAATGCTTCTGTCGTTACACATTTATTCCTGGTCTGGGGACTCTTTTTGAATTGAAGTCTTTTGGCGGTCAACCATCATAGGTTGTACCAGTAATAACTTACTCATAAACTCAGCCGATTGCGAACTCTAGATATAATATATTCCCACGCTGTCATATCTAATCTTGTGAAACTGTAGCCATTTTTCCAAGTTACCGCCATCCGAGCCTGCAATAGGCTGATCAGCAAAAATTCCAATCATGGCACGCACAAAGGTACTTTCCATTAATCCGTCCTCATATGTTGAAATCGAACTCTACGTTCCCTGATCTCGTAGAAAAGAGGTCCTCACCGAGGTCGCAAAACCCAGGAAAATGACGACGACCGGGGTTACTTGAATAAATCTGACATGAACAACGAACGGTTCAGCAACTATTACAAAGCTCAGAATATTATGCCAGACAGTGAATGGGAAGAATTTATGGGAGCCTTGAGGACACCGCTGCCCACCACATTTCGTGTCGCAGGGAGCCGAGAGTGCGTTCACGTTCAATTTGTAGTTATACGCTTGAAGAAACTTAAAGTAACTTGGTACAAAGGATAGCTCACGCTCTCAACCAGACAATACAAGATACCTACGTTCCTTTGCTGAGCAATGCCGTTTTTGAAGGAGAATCTGTGCCTCCTCCCGCTCAAATCCCCTGGTGAATCGTGATCGATGACAACTTACTCGAGTGTGCTAACCGCATGCTGTTATAGGTATCCTGAAGGTCTAGCCTGGCAATTCAACGTTTCAAAGAAAGTTCTTCGGAAATCCGTGGAATTCAAGAAATTCCACTCATTTCTTGTGTTTGAGACGGAAGTAGTCAGTTAATGAACAGTCGTATGATAAATGATGTATGCTGATTCGTATCCTTTGTTAGGGTAATATATCACGTCAGGAGGCCGTCAGCATGTTACCACCCCTTCTTCTTGATGTTCAACCTCACCATTGTGTATGCTTTTCTTTTTTTCAAATCACATCCATTTTCACCTCGGTTTTTGTCAGGTAATCGATATGTGCGCCGCACCTGGTTCGAAAGTGAGGGCATTTATTCCTTGCCTACTATATCATTAAATTTGGTTCTTTAGACGGCACAGCTTTTGGAAGCTTTGCATGCTCACGATACTGTGACATCGACATCAATACCTCCTGGTCTTCTGATTGCCAATGATAGTGATTACAAACGAGCACATTTACTAATTCATCAATCTGCACGACTTCCTAGCCCAGCTCTCATGGTCACCAACCTTGATGCGTCTATATATCCCATACTAAAAGTGCCTTCCGGCAATCCTGCTGGTCCTCGTACGGCCAAGAAACTACAAGATCAGTTATTATTCGATCGAATCCTATGTGATGTTCCTTGTAGTGGGGACGGTACTCTTCGCAAAAATGTTGGTATTTGGAAGCACTGGCAACCTATGGACGGAAATGGTCTGCATGGGTTTGTACCTTATCGCGCAGTACAAATTTCTCGCTAATATTGATGAAGCTTGCAGGTTCGCATTTTACAGCGTGCTATGCGAATGCTAAAAGAAGATGGCCGTATCGTATACTCTACATGTTCCTTAAATCCCGTGGAAAATGAAGCTGTTGTTGCAGCTGCTCTTAACTCCCACAAAGGTAAGTGATTCTTTATGTTGATGTTGAATTATCCTTAGCTCTGAGTAGACTTTGAACTCCTTGATGTTTCCATGCAACTACCACAGCTGATCAGACGACCTGGTATTACGACTTGGAGACCCACCGTGGATCGTTCCATCAACACTGTTTTTGATACATACGAAGATTACACACAGACCTTGGACGAAACTCAGCGCGAGGACAGTAAAATGCTGAGTTCACACTGGCCTCCTAGCAATACAAAGGAACTGAACCTGACTCGTTGGTTAGCCTCTTTTTTTTCATAATCTGTAAGACATGCTTTTGATTTCCACGAACAGTCTTCGAATATATCCGCATCTCCAAGATACGGGTGGATTCTTTGTGGCTGTACTTCAAAGGAAACAGAGCACAGCGTCTCCTGAAAGCATTTCTACAACGACTGCGTGTGTACCCAAACCCTGCCTGCTTAGTATGTGAGCTCATCTAGAATATCATACAGTGATAGGAAAAGGGAAGCGGAACAAGACGATCTCGCTGATGTTAGCGCTCCAGAGACCAAAAAGCCCAAATTGTTGTCTGATGAACCACCGGCCGATAACAGTGAAGCATCTGTCGATGTAGAAAATCCATCCACCCCTGCTGCCGTTGTTAACAGTGATATAAAGGATGTTGAAGGAGAGAGAAAGTCGACCCCAGCACCATCTCGTAGTCAACAAAAAAGCAAGGTTGCCGACCCTTCGTTCAAGGAGATGCCTTACACTTTCGTTGCTTCCGATGACCCTGTGCTACAGTCTTGCATGTTTGTCCTTTTCCCTTTCTCTAGTCGTTGGCTAAGCTCTACTTCCTTGACACAGCGAAAGGCTCAAATTAACCTCTGATTTTCCATCACATAACATCCTTGTTCGCAATCCAGATGGAGGTGCTGTGCGTTCATTCTACGTAACTAATCCCCTCGTCAAAGCCGTTGTGGAGAATAACGATTACACTCGCCTACGACTACTTACGTGTGGGACTAAAGTTATCACCAAGCAAGAAGCTGGTAGGGGGCTTGATACGCAATTCCGAGTGCTGGGAGAGGGTCTGCCTGTTGTGTTGCCTTACATCAATCCGGAATCGATTATGACCTCAGAACTATCTACGCTCAAGACTCTTCTGGAAGCTTATTATCCTTTGTGTACTGCTTTCCCTGAACCTTTCCAATCTGTTATTGAAGCGCGAGGTAAGTGCTGTTATCATAGAAGTCGTGGCGCAATCTCACTCAAAAAACTTCACAGCTGGCGGGAGTCATATCGTCCGTTTCCCGTCTGGAAAATGGAAGGACTCGACGTCAGTTGCTATCGTCTTAACACTGTCACTCCTGTTCTAACAAAACTATCAGACTAACTCACGATCTTGTACTGCCACTTTGGAAATCCAATGTCTCCGTCACCCTGATGATTGATAAGAAAGCGAAAAGGTTAACCTACATGCTTATGATGTGAACCTTTTCTGATGTGTTCTTCGCTACAGCGCCTTGAGCTTACGATTATTTGGGGAAGACATTACGACAGCTGCACGGGAGGCAGCTCAAAAAAAAGGGCGTGCTGCTCCCGAAATTGAAACAGCTAGAGACTCGGAGGAAGTTCAGAAGCCTGGGGAAGATGACAATGCATTACAAATGGATAGTAGCTAGAGTAAGATGGCGAAAGCACATAGAAAGCAAAGCAGATAGAAGTTACAAGGAAGTGATTAACGACTGTATCCATGGGTTGTTTTCTATCTGTGGTCGATATTTTTCGACACATTGCCTAAGCTCTTCTAGTTGCGCTGCTGAGGTTGAATCATCTGACATGATCACGTCGCCATCGGGTTCTGAGGTTTTGCTCGCCCAATTTTGTAGTAGTTCCTCTATGATCTTTATGCCATTTTCGGTTACCGCAGGAGAGAACTGGGGTTCAGTCTGAACTTTATCTACAAAGCAGACTTCTCAGGACCAAGGGGGGGGGGGGGGAGGTTTGATGTCAGCGTTGCTTACCTGTGCCAAAATCCTCTAGTTCATCTGCCTTGCGTTTGGCGAGCTACGAAGAGGTTTAGTAGGTAGCTTGATAACAGAGGGAAATTTACAGACTTTTACGACATTCTCGGGGAAATTGGCCAGCTTAGCAACGTGTATCCCAAAGCTCTGGTCAGAGACACCTGCGAGAATTCAGCGTGGAATGAATTAGATAGTTGCGTACTCACCAGGTTCTACTTTATATAGTAGAGTAATGTCTTGGTTCAGCGACGCTACCTCGTCGTCTCCTTGCGTGACATGAGCAACGACGTGAAGATTTTTGACATGGGAAAGCTCTTGATCTAGAGCAGTGAGCTCATGAAAATGCGTGGCGAATAGACAGAAAGCGCGTATTTGCGATGCTATGTGCCTAAGAAGAAGTCGACGAAAGTCAAGAATCAAGATATCCGTGAACCTTTAACTTACTCTGAAATTGCCCATGCAAGCCCGAAGCCATCGTAAGTTGAGGTGCCTGTATTTGGCACATGTTTACCTTGTTGTCAACCCAAGAGTGATCATAGCCTACCTCGACCAAGTTCATCGATGATGATGAGGGAATCTTTGGTAGCGGACTAAACAAAGAATATGATGACAGAGATAACCTCAGGATATTTGATTCACAAACTTTAAGGATGGTTGCAGTTTCTAGCATCTCCGCCATAAATGTCGAAACACCTTTCAATTGACTGTCACCGGCACCCACACGGCAGAGTACAGAATCGAAGATAGGTACATGCGCTTCTGAGCAAGGGACGAAGCACCCAGTTTGAGCCATGAGTGCTATCACGCCAACCTATGAGAATCATTAGTACACTTGGTAGCCAGCCTGTAAATGGGAGTGCTACCTGTCGTATGTAGGTACTCTTCCCACCCATGTTAGGACCGGCTATACAAGTATAGATTACTGAGCCGCAACATAATATACATGATGAAAAAAGACTGCTTACTGATTATCTGGAACTCACTCTCGTCTATTGGATTACCCGGTTAAATATGATGTCGAAGCGAGATATAATGCAGTACCTTTGATCATTTCTACGTCATTAGGAATAAAGCTTATATCATCTTGGACTTCAAGGCATGGATGTCGTGCTTCCTTCAAGATCAAATTACCGGTTCCTACAGACCATCTATCAGATGATGTGAATGAAAAAGGCTGCTCTCTTTACCCTTTTCCAACATCACCGGCTTGACATAAGGTTCTGGAGCATTCACTGACACATGAGCGAAACTGATAAATAAAACTGGATGTTAGATTTACAATAGAGGAATAGAGAGCAGGATCAATACCTTAATATTACATCGAGATGAGCAATGACGTGATCGAGGGCCTCGAGTACAGGGGTGTATGTCGCTGAATGGATTTAAATTGAATTTATTACACTTGGCTTCAGACCGCTTACCAGCAATATTGACTACCTCTTTCACGAGGCCGCTTTGTGTCCGTGAATAGGTATCAGTAGTTTCCTGGTAATCACCAGCTAGCTCCTTCAAGGTTTTGGTGGTGAAGAACACGCCACTCTTCACTGTGCCGAGCTCGATATATTTTCTTTTGTTAATAACAGCTTTCGCATCCTGATTCACGACCATTAGTTACGTTAAAGAGCTAGGACACCATCCATGCGCACATTTTTTGTCAACCTGAAACAATAACCGTAATTTTGCGAGTTTTCTAGATGTAGCTTCTTATCGAGCTCTAAGTCCAAGTCATTGCCGACTTCTCTATGCTCCTGGTCTAACCCATCTCGGATCTGTACAGATTCTCTTAAGGTAAATGTTCGAGAGTGAGTGATAGACATCATTATACGAACTTCGATCAACTTGTTAGCAAGTTCTTGTAGGCGAGGATCATAATCAGGTTTGATGACATATTTATGGTTATCGAGCTCATCAAGATCAAGCGTTTGCTCCACCATCTCCCCATATTTACAGAGGTTTTCGTTAAATTCCTGGATGAACAAATAGCAGAAGAATTAAATGACACAGGAGAATAGCGAACAAACTTACCCGGAAATCTTTAAGGTAAATCTCTTCCAGCAGAGACTTATAATCGTCTTGTTCTGTTTGCGTGCCTTCAAGATTGGCTATGAGACCAGGAATCTGTTGGCGCGTAGTAAATCAAATTGTACGTGGGTCACATTTGCACAAGCTTCGTTACTTTAAGCACAACCTGGTACACTCTGACGACATCTTCCAGAGAGGCGGCTGATTTCTTGAAACGCTTGCTGATACGATGCATGTCAGGCATAAATTTGAGGAAGTCGTCCTAATATAAACATTCACATGAGTGAGACGACACTATTTATGGAATACAAGTGCCACGGAAATCAGAATCAGTGCTGACCTGAAGATTTCTACGAGTAGAAGAATCGTCAACAAACATCTCAACTAAATTCTGCCTCTTTTCTGACGATGACCGACAACTGAAATGAGAGCCCTCTAGTGTTAAAAATATAGCGACTTACGGATCTCATGAAGATTGACTAATGGCTGCTTTAGCCAACTCCCCAGCAATCTTGTGCCCTGTGCAGTCTTGCATTTATTGAGGAGACCAAGTAAAGTAGCATTTCGATTGATAGACCCCTATTCGCAAGTTAGAAGAAACTGAGGAATGACACGAGCACTTACTGCGCTACCAGGTGGCTCGGTTAAATTGAGAGCACGAAGAGCACTAGCATCTAATCTCATGTATTGTGATAGGTCATGAGTTCGGATGCTAAACGCTCCGTGATTCGACGGATCCGTAAGTAATGATAGATAGTTTACTAGAGCAGACAGGGCAGATGGAGCCACAGGAAGAGATAGCTGAGCTGGAAAGCAGGACAACGAGAAAACAGGCCTTCATCAGCCCAATATCATAATTGGCAACAAAATAACATACATATGGTTTGAGGATTACCCACTGTAGCAGAAGAACCCGGATCTTGCACAAGCAACTTCATTAGGTCATCTTCGATATTCTTTGCGGTAAATTCACCTATACCAGTCTGAATTGAAAGAAAATCGCGACGATAGAAATGAAACTTACTAGGTTTCTTTTCGGTAATGACCACTCCACACCGCTCCAATACTGCTTTGAGTTTATTCAAGTCAATATCACGATCGGTATTCCCAGATGCAGTGCCGGTTGGAATTAGCGCCTCTTTGACAGAGAGTTGTATTATTAGAGACTTGATCTATGGTTAGAATATACAAGACATGACATTTTATCGATTCACCTCTGTGTTTGAAAACAAGTCATTGTCAACAAAGTCTGCCACTCCTAGTTGTCTGATACTAGTGTCTGCAAATGCTATTCCAACCGTTTTAGTCTTCGTCTTGTCTGCGGAAGCAGATACAATCTTGATCGCCATAACAATAGGGGCGGAAAGAATGTCAGAGTTGACGAACAGAAGGTCTTCTACCGCCTGTAAATTTCCAGGGGATGCCTTGCAAGAAGTCACAATGTTAGGGATAGACCAACATATACAATATACGTATCAGGGCGCGTAGTTGCTCTCACCTCCTTCTCCAGGACAAACTTCGATGCTTTCTTTGTCTGGCCTGGTGCAGGTTTCCAAATTTCTACTCGCAACTGCTTCGCGGTTAGAGCATCTCGCAGAAACGATAGGGCTAGAGTGTGACTGAGAGTCACGCTGGGTAAACCAGCAGCCTTTCCTCCGGCACCAAGATTTGCGCCACACAGGCACAGTGCCACATGGAATAGTAATTAATATTGCCTTTTTCAATCTTGTGGCTGATCAGGACCATCGATCAAATAACCGCACGGTTCCGTTTTCGGGAGACTTGGCTGGAAGCCTGGAGAAGAACGAAATGAAGCCAGGGTCGGACGAGTGCTCTTCATGATTTCAGTCGTGAAAAGTCTGCGAAGTGAACCGCATGCATGTAGACTTACCTATATCGTGGTCAGCATCTTTCTCTTTTCCGTACATGAGCGCCATTGTGTATTGTCAAAGGCGATAGCGACAAAGCTAGTTTTTAAAACCTTGGGAGGTTATATGCGCCTTCCCCACAACAAGATAAAATGATTACAGTCGCGTCACAACGACGCGTTTTTAGGTCTGCACGTGTTTGCTTGTGCAATGGATCGGCGCTTGAAGTATTTGGCGGTGTTTTAAATGTTACCTACTCGTTGACAGGTTTGCTTCCGCTTTTCCCACTGCAGCGACTTATGCTCTGTGTTCTCTATGCTATGACCAAATTGAAACGTCTACAAATCATCTAATTGCGAAGGACTGCTGTTTTGTCTACGTCTGATCTATATCTGATGTTTCTGCACCACTGTGTACAGGCACTGTAGCTTCTACTACAGTTCCTGAAGTGGATATTGGTGCAAGAATGACTTGATCCTTAGACTTCACTCACCAGTGAAGGCCTGTGAACCCTGCTTCAATGTTCTAGATTGCTGAGGATATACAGTTATATTATGGGTGGCGCTCTTATGTCCAGTGCTATTTGCAATTGTGGCGTATTGTTCTAGGTGGAACAACTTTGTAGGTCTCTGGTGCATCTACTAGTAACTAGGTTACTTGTCTGCTCTACGCAAAATTGCTGTTTTCGTGCAACTGGAACTTGACTGGAACTACAACTCCATCTCATTCGATCTTCGTACAAGCCAGTAACGCATTGCAAGGCCATAAGTTGTTACCGCGTGGACGTGCGATCGTCGATCACAGCCCGATATGGCTTCGCATAAGAGTCGACTAGTATTGTGATCAATTTCGCTATCAATGGCATCGGTCTCCTACCATGACTGCAAGCAACAAACAGACCTTTAAGAGATGCCTTTTTATCTTACCATCGTGACATCATCATATCTATACCACCCTTCAAGACAACCCGGACTCCTTTTTTGCTTAAAATTGGGAGCCGAAGAACTGCCAAATCAGTATTGTGCCTCCTGGGTCGTCCATCATTTTTGCATTATCCACTATCTTCGTGGCATCGATTATGATGTCAGTCTGTCGAGATCTGTCATGTATACTTGTCTGGTAGAAGATTAGTCTCCTTGGCGTGTGTGACCCCGGATTTATAAAAGAGCCTTTTCTTTGGGCCTTTTTTAGCTGTTGATTTTGTTCCCCGAAAGTCTACCCTTATCACTCACAGTGAGTCTCGCCATGTCCACCACAATTCAAGACGTTGCCGATCAGTCCTTCGATTTCGTAGTTATCGGTATGTCGGCTTCGTTGATGGTGTATAGATCAAAATAATTGACATATATTTCTATCAATACAGGAGGGGGGGTGAGCAGGGCTTCAGGCATGTCTAAATTGATCCTGATCGATGCCGACGATCCATGCAGGCAGCAGGTCTTTGTTTAGCATCTCGGCTTGCTGAAGAATCTACGTTCTCTGTTCTTGTGTTAGAAGCAGGACAGGCTAATTTAGATGATCCCGCCATACGTCAGTGGCTGTCGCTTTTTTGAGATGCAATCATTCTCACATCTTAGAATGCTTGCGCAGTGCTACCTGCGCAATATGGGACGCATTTTGGTCAGAGTGCTTATGATTGGCAGCATGAAACGGTAGGATTTCCAGGTTCTTATCTTTAGGTCGCGATTCATAAGGGTGATAGGTTGGGCAAGAATTTTCGAATGGAAGAACATATTCTTGGAATAGGTGCGCAGATGTTTTGTAGACTGAAGTAAAAATCTGATGAATGGTGGCTAGGGGGAAAGGTTTGGGCGGAAGCTCTGGTGTCAATTTCCTATGCTGGATGAAACCCCCCAAAGAAGAGATAGATGGTGATGTCGTCCGAGCCTTGCATGTGTACTAAAACTCATGAACACTAATATAGACTGGGAGAGACTTGGAAACCCGGGATGGAATTGGGAGCGTTATCAACAGAAGTTGCGTGGCTTGGAAAAGTATGGTTTGCTGAACTCTGGTATCCTTATCTTATGAACTAAACACACTCCCCAGCTTTCATGAAAAATCTACTGCTGGTCGTGACTTAAACTTCAGCGATGAGACAATCGGAGTTGGCGGTAAATCTATAGAGCTTTCTTAACTATTATCATTTCTAATGCAAACAATCTTCAGGTCCCATTCACCTTCATTATCCAAATACTATCACTCGACCGGAGACGCTCGGCTTCCAAGTATGTAGTTTTATTATTTTCGTCCAATACCTATCGTTTCAACTTTGATGTATGGCAGACATGGCTAAATTTGGGAGTACCTAGAGCGCCTGCTCCAGTGAGTAACTTCTCCCACCTTACAGTCAGATTGTTGATTTTTCATTTATTCAAGTTGAACGGAAATGTGAGAACAGTCGGTCATTGTACCGACGTTATTTACAGTACCTCTCTTTAGCCCAAAGGCGCACTCATCACGCCCAAAACGATAGATCCTGCAACTTACACACGCAGTTACGCAACGACGGTGAGTGGGCGTTCAAAGTGGTGAGAAATAAATAGCTGAATTGCCTATACCAGGCGTTTTATCTTCCCAATGCTCATCGCGCTAATTTCCACGTGATGATCGGAGCACATGTCAATAGGATCCTTACTCGCTCCGGTGATGCTGGCGGCGATGTGGTCGCCACAAGTGTGGAGTTCTCCCACAATGGATCAGTTTATACTGTCAATATCGGAAAGGAAGTTATTCTTTCTGCAGGGTGATTTTTTTCTCTTCGTTACGCGTGTCTTTCGGTTCTTAATCATACCCCAGTGCATTGAAGTCCCCGCAAATTTTGGAGCTATCGGGAATCGGGCGGAAGGACGTTTTGGGAGCATTGGGTATTCCAGTCAAAGTTGAACTGCCGGGGGTTGGAGAGAATGTACAGGAGCACTTGTACAGTGGGATTACCTACGGTAAGGGTTCACCATTTTGCTTATACGCGTACGCTAATGTAACCTGACGCACATCTATCATCCAGAACTGGCCGACGACGCTGACGATCTTACACTCGATATTTTGCGAGATCCTGTAGGACGTGCCAAGCACCTTGAACTGCTGTACGTATCAACAATTACTTAGAAAGGCATAGAACTCGGGCTGACGCGTATATTCTAGAGCGAAAGGCGAAGGTGCCTTTACTGCAGGCATATGTGAATTTGCTTTCATGACTCTTCAATCAATTTCCGATCGCGCTGAAGAGATCAAAAAGTCTGCAAGAGAGAAACTAGCCAAGAACTGGTCGACTTATTCTGCTGGTCTCCGTGACCAATATGAAATTCAGCTTGAACGCTTAGAAAATGCAGCTGGGTGTGAGGTTATCCTGGTACCCGGGTTCTTTACCATACCCAGTAAGAACAGTGTTTTTCAATAAATCGAGGGGCACACACTGAACTGTGTCGCTAGATCCTCCTGTTCCTGGTAAAAAATACTTCACTATCCTGTTTGCATTAAACCACAACTTCTCGAGGGGTACCATTGTAAGCATATAGGTTTTGGTGATCTTCTACGCTTACACTTTGCAGCATGCTACCTCAGCAGATCCGAATGTTGATTCAGAGTTCAACCCTCACAACTTTGAAGAAGACGTTGGTTCGTTCGTGCCTCTCTGGAATCATTGCTCTGCAAGACTTACCGTCGCCCTTACCAACAGATCTTCAAACATTTATTGAACTCCTCAAATATGCTAGGAAGATGTCCCAAACGGCACCCTTAAAAGAGGTCCTTGGTTAGTAATAATTCGTGAGCGTTGATGGTCGCTGTGCTTACCTCCCCCTGTATCATCAACAGCCAAGGAGATCAATCCAGGACCCGAAGTTAAGACAGATTCCGACATGGGCGGTACGTTTATAAGGTCTTGGCTAACGAGAGTGTGCCTAATAGTTCTCTAGATTATTTGAAACAGTACTGTGCGACGACATTCCGTGAGACAGCTTTTTCAGACTGAATGGGTAACGTCGCTGACATGATACCATCAGATACTATTGCAAGCCTTTCCATGATGCCATTGGAAAAAGGTGGAGTCGTGGACAGTAGCCTCAAGGCTAGTCATCTTCTTCTCTGCTTCGCATTTAGGATAGTTATCTTTTTTCACCAGGTATATGGAACATCCAATATTCGGGTGGCCGATTTATCTATCGTGCCCCTGCATGTTGCAACGCACACGCTTAGTAAATCCCTTTCTCTCTCTCTTGTTCCTTTCCTGATTGTTATCGGCCATTTTCCAGCAACCGCGTATTCGATTGGAGCACAGGGTAAGGGCGACTTCATCCTCGTCTTTTGAATTTCGAAGTAAATGCTAATAATGATATTCACAGCTGCTGACATCATCAAGGAAGAATATAACAAAGCTTAATATTTCGGTATATGTAGGTGTTCTGTCAGTGAAGGACTGCCAGTCCACCATCAGTTTATTCAAGAGTTCCTGGAATTTCACCCATTGACATCGACGAACGTGTTCCTGCAAGACTTCGAGTACTAACTGTATGTATATCTGTACGATTGTGTTCATAGTGTATGACGTATTGCAGACGCCGTACTATAGTATCACGTATTCGTTGTAGATCTCGAAGTTCCTCCTCTTCGAGCTTTAAGCTTAAGCTTCGAAAAAGATTCAGCGCCCATCGTTGTGGCCAACCTCAATGATGCGTTGAGTCTACAGCTGTTTACTAGTCTCAGTGTGGAGCACGCACGATGCAAGTATAGCAACAGCCAGTTTTGATTATACCGTACATAGTAATCATGGAGTTATATATAACCGTCAACACCGTAAACGATGAGACCCTCGGCTATGTTTTTGAAGTTTCTGTCTCTTTCCCACCTTCCATCTCCACATACCTCACATAATGTCCCAACTACTCACTATCGTTTCTCTTTTACTTTCTGCTTCTACCGCTGTCGTTTCGACGCCATGTGTCGCATTCGACATTAACTGGAATTTGCTTGCTTTTGGCCTCGACGGCAAGGATTACAACGCAGGCACCCAAGACACATGGGCTGGCAGTACGTTTTTTTCTGCTTTACTTTTCCACTTTAGTCCTTATTGGTGGTACTTGTCAGACAACAACAAAGCTACAGACATCACGGGTTCTGGGCGACCGTACGTGTTTTTGCGTTGTTCCCAAGTCAAGTGTCCCGCTGCTAATATTACCTTCTGTCCAGTTCCTTCGATGGTGCCAACACCACATGCTACCTATCTCAGGTTTTTCTACTGTTCTTCTCATTCGCTATGCACCTCTCTTATTTTAGTGACGGTCATAGTACACGAATGCGATATACGTGTTGAACGGAGACTCGCAAAACCCATCCTCTATCTACATCTATGACGCTACAGCCAACTCTTGGACTACACAGGCCACAACCACCAATGGATTTAACCCCGCCGCTTTTGACGCCATTCTAGACCATGACACGAACGTTTTCTGTGGGTTTTACTTGTATATATGCTCCCGATTGCACACGAAGCTAATTCTTTGACCAGATGCCCTTTCTGGCGGTAACCTGTTCTCCTTGGACATGGGTCTCCTTAAGGCTGCTAACAGCACACCATTGGCATGGACCAACGATAAAGCTGCCCCTTACCCTGCCGACTACGAACCTGTCATGGCTCTGGCTGAAAACCACGTTCATTTCCTCGACGTTCCCGGTGTCGCTGCTGGTTCTGCGGACATTTTCGTCATCCACTGTACGCATTCATTATTCTACTACAAGTAATGCTTACCGAGTTTCTGCGGGTTTCAGACTCGTACTTCCAACCTCAACCTCAACCCTACCCCCTTACGAACGGAAGCACTCTCCCGGCTACTTATGGACAGGCTACCTCATTCTTCCAAAATACTGGTGTAAGTCATTTCAGCGTTCCACGATTTGTAGCCATTTTCATGATCATTGTCTATACTTGTAGGTTCAGCAGGAATTCGCGTTCATCCCTGAAGACTCTTCGGCTGTCTATGTGATCAATGTTGACGTATGATATCTTACATGACTGATCTGTAGTATTGTTCTGAATGAAATTTTTAGTCGAACAACACTCAAGTCCTGGCTGGTCCCACCATTAAAGACCCCAAGGCCACTTACTTTGCTTCCGTCGACACCTTGGTCCAACTTTCAAGCAACGGCGCAGTCTCATACCTACCGTACCAACAAGGAAACACTGCCGCAAACACTGCTGCCTCGTGGGCAACTGTTAGTGTCCTGGCCACAGTCGCTCCTCCCTCATCTCCGTCGAACTCCTCCAATGGGCCACTGAATGGAACCAGTGGAGGTTCGAGTGGAAACAGTTCTAGCACTGGTTCTGGATCGAGCGGTAAATCCAGCGATGCGCCGTCGAGTAGGGTTATTCATGCCAGCGTCTTGGCTGCGCTTGCTATGGGAGCTCTGGCTTTGGTCCTCTGATAGTACGATGGCTTGATTCCCCTTCGTGATATTGTATTGACATTGGCGTACGCCGTTGCTCTACTGCATGGACATTATACCTCCCACATTCTATTTTTTTTTTTTTGGATTTATTCAACCCCGGAGTGTGTTACCCCATATTCTTTGAGCTGTTGTTTACTTGATTGTTCACATTATCGTTGCTCGCAACGATATTTAATGGCATATTCTCTTTATTCTGTATCCGGAAATCTAAGATCCAGTGACCTGAAGTTGCAAAGGTTTTCATTGTGCTTGTCAGAGACAAAGCAGTGATTGGGCGAATGTTAATTATAAGGCGGACGCGAGAGTGTTGGTCACGCACGGTGTCTGGGGGATTCCCACGAACGCGTTGAAACTGTACGCGCTTGGGTGAGAGTCGGATGGTGCCAAATCCATTCTGTCCACGTCCTTGTAGCATCCGTGTGGAGGTCGGGCCACTTCATCACTTTCAACCAACTTTTATTCTATTGTAGACAATAGTCCGACGCCTTTGTGCCATCTGTCACTATCCATTGTACGAGCCAAATCGTGACGGACGCTTTGCACTTCCTGTGCTCTTTCCCATTCTCAAGCCACACCACAGGGTCTACAGCACCTTGCTCCCATAAATTCTCGAGTACCTCCGAAAAAGCGAACCACCCGTCTTTCCCACCGGCATGTCATCTCCCAACGAGGACTTCTCAATGTCGACGCTCTCTCTCAACTCCAATGGCTCACAAGGCGAGGATTGGGATCGTTCAGAAACGGATATTCAGCCCAACTTGAGTCATGTGACGCCACGGAACTCTGTGGTATTTCCGGCAGAGGGAATTGAGGATACGCCAGGGAAAGCTGTTTGTAGCAAGGGAAAGCGCTCGCTGAGTGAGCTATTGCGGTTGCATGCGGAGAAGGGAACAGACGTCTCGTTCAGCGCAGAGGAAGCCTCTAGGGTGGCTGACGTGCTCAATCAGTGGGTGAGTATCCGCAGTTTCCTATCTTCTCACCGTGTTGTCTCAAACGCGCTAGACCCATCTGAAAAACCTGACTGACTCTGCTCGGTTTTTAGATAAATTCTGGATCATCTCCTTATGAGGGAGAGGATGACTTCTTCACTCGCTCCCAGGATGACTCTTACCTGTCAGCAAAGCGCTCGCCACCTGTTACCGACATATCCAGTCGACCTAGAGGACAAAGCGAGAGCGTCGTTAGCTCACGGCCTTCAAGTTCGGCGGGCGCTACCAAGTCATGACGCTTGTTCTGCTCTAGCTCTTGTTCGTGTATGTAGTTGTTTTTTTCGTTCTCCCAAAGTTATCTGCTTGCCCATTACTATTTTGCACTTTGCTATCTCACCACTACCGATTATCTTATCTTTACGAACTCTCACGTCCCTTCACGACCACTTACGAACGTTTATGAAGCATCTACATTACATTATACGCTCTTCAATTGATCGATTTGTTGTGATTCGTTTAAATTCCCATCGTTACAGCTTGCTTATCGATTAAGCTCCTTCAATTTCAGCAGAGGTTTTGGTATTATTTTGTTAATAATTATACAGTGGCTGCACAGCTTTTGAGAATAGAGGTCATTAAGATGGGACGCTATGAGAATTACAGTTGAAGTTATATCGATAGACGCAATTTTACACATGTGAGTCGAACTAACATGCACTTAAATTACTGCACTGTACGACCAGTTCCTACTAACGAAAGGTTGATTTCGCTCTCAACTTGGGGTGTAAGACGACTCTTCGAGGGACTCGGTGAAATGCTGACAATCACGTCTCTCTTGAACTGCTCACCATTATAGAATCTACCGTTGCGTTTTCACCTAGTCTCTTTGGTCACGCTGAGATAGGGAGGGATAGAATCATATTATTAAAGATCAACATCATAAATATGTGAAAGATTAGGATGTATACATATCGTTTGTGCTGCACGGTAGGGATCACGAAGACCAACAGATATCAATGTCAACTTTCTTGGATATTCAAACTGGGAGTCTAGAGACAGGCACAGCGAGCAAGAGGACTGATGGCTACCAGATCCTGTATTGACGACGCCGGGTGTTCACGGACGAGTTAGCCGTCTGGAGTTGCATCTGATCGAAATGGAGTCCATAATGTTGTTGAGATACAGCAAGTTAGGTATCGAGTTCAATGACCTTTATGGGGTAGTCCGTGAGATATCAGCGGAGTAGTTAGTAGTCGGAAAGCCAAGGAGACAAGGTCAGGCGTTGATGGGCTGTTGACGCTTCTGTATCTCCATGATGATAAGAATGTGAGAAAAGTATGGGGTGGGTTAGCTTATCGTTAAAGATATCAATACTTAAAAAAGATGCCTATGTCCGCACGGGTCCAAATTTGCATTTGAGTAGTACAAAAGCCTCATTCCTGAGATCCTCCGAGTCCAGGCCAGGGGAGAGTTTGAGACGTGTATTTAAACTGGCCTTGATCGTCATGATATAGATGTGACTGGTGTTAAATCAAAGAGTAGTACCGGACTGAAGGCGGGACATTTGAGTTACAGATGGGATCAAGGATGAGATGGAGATAGAAAATATTGTCAGGTCCCGAGCTTGGCGGTATCCGGCTTAACGTACAGAGACCTCGGGCATCGACCGAGGTCTGTACTTTTGGGTCTTGAGAGGTTTTCCACCACACCAATGTGGCACTTGTTTTCTTACATTCCTTCCCTTCTTACATACCCTGTGTCGGAAAAGAAAGGAACGCATTCTCATGCTCAGCTCAAAAAGTAAATACGTATCATTCTGGGGCATAATGGAATGGGGAAGGACGGAAGGGTTGTCCTCTTTTATCTAATCTGGGCCGAATCTCAGCACGTTCTCTGTCAGTTCAAACGCCAATCACTCTATTCTCTTTCTGATATCCAGCGATAGCGCACCAACGCTTCGGAGTTAGGCTTGTTTTTAAGTTATGCCGGCCTCATGCCCTTCGGGTGTCTTCAGCTTTGGCCGGACGTCGAATCGGTGACATAAAACCTCGCAAGGATAAAGCATGCGCGCCTGGATGCCTGGCCTGACTTTGCTCCCCCACCTTTCCCTCTCTCAGGATGTTCTCTGACGGACCAGAGTATAAGGCACGGTAAGCTTGACCTTCTATGCTCTCTTTCTCCTCTTTAAAGCCGTCTTCATAGCTTGGCTCGCCCATATGCCCCTCCGACTGTGACGCTAAAACAAATCCACGACGCCGTACCGAAGCACCTCCTGCGCAAGAACCCCTGGTGGTCAGCTGCATACGTGCTTAGAGACATTACATTCACCATCCTCCTTTTCAAATTCGCATCATCTATCAACCCCTGGGCGCGCGGAGACTTTGGTGGGATAGTGCCAGTTTCATATATTCCCCTGGTCAAGTACTCGCTGTGGGCAACCTACTATTGGTTCCAGGGTCTAGTTTGGGCGGGAGTGTTTTGCCTGGGTAAGTGTCGGATATGCTCTTTTCCATCTCGTGAGATCTGACCAGGTCGTGTAGGACATGATGTGAGTTTGTATCCGAAAGACTGACCGATGGATTTCTCACTGTAAATATCGTGTAGGCTGGTCATGGAACGTTGTTTAATTCTAGCATTGTGAACAACGTCGTTGGCTTCACGCTTCACACGGTAAGGAGCATTGACGGATGGCGCACGCTGGTGCTAATCTATCACGTTGTTATGTAGTTCCTTCTAATTCCCTATTTTGCGTGGCGGTCTACTCATCATGCTCACCATGTAAGTCTTCTTCTTTCACCGAACTCAGCCTGACAATTAATGTTCGAAAAGAAAGCAACTGGCTCTATTGAGCGTGACGAGAACTATATTCCTTACACTCGCAGTGAATACAACTTGCCTGAGGAAAAGAAGGCCAGCAAAGCAGATTATGCTGAAATCTTCGAAGAAACACCTATTTACACCCTCGGTAGGGTATTGGTTATGCAAGGACTGTAAGTGTAAGATATCACTCCAGAGATGATTATGGTTATTCATTACTCTTTCAAAAGTGGCTGGTGGTTGTATTTGACGTACGTTCCAGTGAAATGCTGTGAAAGGTTTGTTTCATCGTGTTGCATAGATACAATACAATGGGTTCAAAGATGTACCCTCCTGGTACGAGTCACTGGAGTCCAAGCTCCCCTCTATTCAAGGATAAACAACGTATGTCATCCGAAGAATCCGCCATACGGGCACCAGTGATACATATGTCTGACAGCTTTTTCATTGGTATATTATAGGCAACTCGATTATCATTTCCAACATCGCCCTCTGCTGCCAGCTCTTTTTACTCAGCTATATCGGTCCTAAAATCGTGCTCAAGTACTACCTGCTGCCATACTTAGTGAGTCACTATAGTCTTTTAGAAACACAGTATCTTACTTGAGTAACTAGTTCACAAATCACTGGTATTTATCTTCCTTCTTCGAGTCTTTCATGGACTGACAAAATGATGGGGGCTCTATGTGAAATAGGATTGGTAAGGGATCAAAGTTGATAATGACTTGTGTGAGCTGATTTGACCCTCTATTTAGTCATGTTCACGTATCTGCATCATTCCGACCCTACTATCCCCCACTATCGCAAGGAAGAGTGGTCATTCCTCAGAGGCGCAGCTTCCACCGTTGATAGGCCTTTGATGGGCTGGATGGGAAGGTTTTTCATGCACAATGTATGTGACACCATTGGCTGTTATCTTGAATGCTTATAGAACGCTGCTGCAGATCTCCCATGATCATGTCGCACACCATTTCTTCGTTGGTGCACCTTTCTGTGAGTTCATCGTCACTGTACTCAATTTCTCTTTGAACATTGGTGTTTTTGCATAGATAACGGTCCGAAAATAACGAAGGCCATTCGCAGCGTCTTAAAGGATGACTATAACTATGATTCTACAGTACGTACTTGAACTGAGAATCTCTATTCATGAGGTCTGATCTTCGCTCGAATAGAATACTTTCTATGCCCTCTGGCGTTCATTTACTCAATGTGTGTTTATTGAAGAAGAGGGAGGGATAGTCTTCTACAAGAATAGATACGGCGAGCAACAGCGACAGCTTCAAGAAGATGTCGTTAAAGACATACAGGCGAAGGGATGGGATCCGAAGGCACAAGACGAACTGGACAGCAGCGCTTCTAAAGACCTTGCATTCAGTGGACCTACGGACTTGAATTGAAGTGCTTTACATAGGGTTTTATGTCCCGGCATTCGTGAAGCTGTACCATCTTTCGATGTATTAGAACGTCTTTTTTTTCTGTACGAATGCTAGTAAACAATTGTACGATCCTGCGAGGAATTTAACAGTCTGGCCATGGCGTAGCAATGAAATGTTCGAGTCACCATGACGGTGGCAATTGCGACTTGTTTTCATTTCAGTGCACAGCCGCTGAGTTAGATGAGATTATGTTCTTTGTTCTCGGACGCTCATGCAAAGAACTTACGGCCGCAAAGCTGCAAAGCGCCAGTCGCGAATCGTCTCTGAATCATCAAGGGAAACCAGCGAAGATCCTTTGCGGATTCACGAGGGCGAGTTCGAGCCGCCGAGCCCCACACCACGCAAAAGACAGAAGATCGTAGTCGAAATCGTTCCCCCGCACTCAGATGACTCGGAAGGCGAGCACGGACACACACCATCGCCTGCAAAGCGTCGAAAGCTAGAGAATGGAAACGGCGATACTACACCAAAGAAGCATGGGAGGAACAGAGATTCATCGAGTGCAAAGAAGAGGCAAAAGGACTTGGAATCAGGTGTGTCCTGGTAAAAAGTAGTAATGGGGTCATCGAACTCTGACTTCATTTGTTTTCTTGTGTGCCCTACTGTACAGGTACTAATCGTCGTTCAGATACACAAAACGACGCGCTGCCGCTTACCGGGCCTTCAATGCAACGTTCATCGACGTTTCCATCGTACGCCCCCGAAAGTAGCACCAACACTGGTTCTCCGTCCACCCCCAAGAGACCTGCCAAGGATCTTTCCAGGCTCTTTAGTCTCTCTTCACCTCTATCATCAGCTGGAAACGGGTCACCTATGGGAATGAGGTCACCGGGATCGATCGGTGTAGCCAAACGGATGCTGGGTCGTGCTCACACCGACTCATCCATCGATCACAGCGGAGGTGAGCCATCAGGGCATCATTACAGACTTTTATATCCATAATACACGGAGTGATGGAATATCACCAGGTAGCAAATCTGATTCTTCGTCGACTCCCAAGAAAATGGCGAAGGATCTGTCGAATCTGTTTGACCTGTCCTCTCCGCGACGTTTCCCAGGTAATACACTGGAATCTCCGGGACCATCCAAGACCACAGGGATAGCGAAGCGCATGCTGGGTCGGTCCCATACTGATTCGTCTGTCAATACTAACGCTGGTGCGAGCGATAACTTATCCTTCATGCTATTTGCAAGATTCAATGACATATGGTACAGGCAAGCAAGATGATATGATATCGCAAGATAGCCTTCTCAAGCGTACGCGCTCTCTAGCCACACCTGAGCCACCCCGTCGTACTGCTCCGCGTGATGTGCCCCGAGAAAATTCAGATATACAGTTATCTGCTTCCCCTTCTCCATCCAAAGCGCCGACAACTATCCACGCGCGCACGTATGCAGGAAAATCGCGATCATTCTTAGTTGCTCTGCCTGCTGCCCAAAACCTTTCAGCTTTGACGAATGCGGAAACTCAAGAAGACGAAGATATAGAGATGCGAGAGTCCTACACTGATCTGCGAAGCCGGTGGGGAGTGGACAATTCAGAAGACGATCCACCAGATGCTTCATCATCTCATCAAACTACGCGCATAGGAGGGTCCCAGGCATTGGGTATGATGAACGATTTGAAGAGCATATCAGAGCTGCGGAGCAAGGGAGAGAGTAGGCGATTCTTGGATGAGGTAGGTTACCTGTTTGAGGGTCTGGAGGGAAGTGCGGGTGTTGGGCTGCGCAGGGCGAGGTATGTGCTCTACCTCGCGTCATTTATTTCTCAGCTTAGTGTGGTCGATCGAATAATGAAACTACAGTGCTCTAGAGGTAGTGACGAAATTATGCGATCCAGAGTTCAGTCGGAAAGCCAAAGCTGCGGATTTCTATGGCAAAACATGGGATATGTTGAGGGATGCGATGGCTGGAAGCAGCGACAAGGTACATTTATAGGACTTATAAGGGTTCCTGCATCTAATCTCGCGATATATCAGGTTCTAGATGCTATTTTACTTTTCTTTGTTGCTCTAGCCGCTCGAGACCCACATTCTCTAGCAGAGATCGCTCAGAAGTCTAATGGTGTGTCTGTCCTTATGGGCGCTCTGGACTCTGTCAGTCCTGCAAAGGATGTTTTGAGTAGTGGGATTACTTTTGCCTTGGGTCGGGCTGGTGCAGCAGACACCAAGTCACTAGGTTTATTGAAAACAGAGATTAGTGCAGTATGTCCTTGAATTTTGATAGTCACCATTTCGCTCACATCTATCGTGATATAGTTGAAGGCATTGGCGGATATCATCATCAAGAAATCACGGTTATTCCCAGCTGATGTCGAGGTGAGTTACTAGTTACCTACAACATTCACACCTCCCTTACGCTCTTGCACAATATTACAGATATCCAGCAGGTTTCTTGTTTCCCATACCTTGGCAAAACTCCCCACAAGCTCCCTTGAAGCTAATCACATTTCATCAGTCGTGGACAGTCTCAGGAAAGACTTGCGTCTGCTGCCCCCACGAGTAACAGCATATGTTTCTGGCCTCGCTCTCTTTCCATCGTTGCGATCCCAGCATCACGTGGATATGCCTTCCCTGGACCACATGGAATGCTGCCTCCGTTTGGTAGATTCATTTTTGCTAGGGAAATGGTTCCAACCAGGCCAGAGCCACGAGGAGGATGGACTTCTTTCTATCCTCCCTATAAGTGATCAGGAAGAATTTGCGGAAGAGTTAGTGGTGTTATGCGTAGTTACGGAAGCTTTGATGCGGGATGAGCAGAGGAAGGATCGCCGAGATATAGGTGTGTTTTTATCTCTGTCTCACATATTCCCTCCCCCCCCCAACCCCCCATGCGATCGTGCTCATGTATGTCATCCTAGCGCGAAAATGCCTCTGTGTCACGCTTCGCATCCTTACTACGCTGTCGCGCGAGAACGCGAGCTGGTGTAAAGCCTTCCTTCGTGATGAATCGATGTTACCACTAGTCATGTTCATAATCATCCGAGCGCAAGAATGTTGGTCCACCTCACAGACGTTGGAAGACCAGTCTGAAGATGATGTTTCACCGAGTGAAGCTGTTCAAGCATTTGATATGCTCTGTTTGGCTCTGGGGCTGATTTTAAATTGGGCTTCAACCTCCCAAGATGTGAAGGATCTGTCAAGGACGCTTCGTGAGTATTCAGCCAACCAGTCACTGATGTTAAGTTCATAGTCTGTCTGTTCATGTCAGGTCTTGATCCCGGTTGCACTGGCTCTCGGCATTGCGTTAAAACCTGCCAGTGCCCTGACCGCCGCAGCATCCTGCAGTGTCTTGTGTTGATTTATGTTCAGCAAAGCGAGTCCAATCTTGCAGATAGACCAGAAACCAGTTTTCTCCGAGGATATATGTCTGTCCTGTTCGGGCTGCTGATGCAAGATAACCCCTCCAACCAGAAATCTATACTCTCTTCGCTTCCAGGATACTCTTTACGAGGGAAAATCACCTCTCTCATTGATAACACCCAGCAATTCGTGAGGCTGTACGGTGATCTCTCCGTCCAGCTTTCTGCAATCCCAGTAGAGGATATACAAGAGGATGATGACTCCATGGAAACCCAGGACCATGGCGCAGGTAGGGCGACACACGGCAGGAGTGGTGAGGATATCGCCAAGGGCGTTATTACCTTTTTTGAGACGATGCGTAGCAAGGCTTAAGCATTCAACGACTATAACGACCTACTTATGCTATACTATATCTACTTGTGTCATACCCAGTGCATCTGTGTTTTCTTCTTCATCGCCATCTTCTGTTGTGTCAATGAAGCATTGCTCGATAGCACCCATGTAGGTATTCATTTTCCACATATCTCCGATCTTAATACTAGCATGATCGAATGCAAGAGCCAATATTGGTTCTTTTGCTATGCTCGCAGATGTGGCAGATGTGGGTGGCGAAAGAATAGCGGGAGGTGGTAATTTTGGGTACCGAGCAGAGAAATGAGTAAGAAGTATTTTTTGGGCGTTCATGCTATTTTGACAAATGTGAGCGATATCGAGATGGAAGTAAGATGGACCAAACCTTCTTCCTATATTTACTGCTTGTCCGAAAGTGCTATGCATTTTGGCCCGTGCCATTTCCACCTGATCATCTGCCATGGTGGCTTCGTGGATTAGTAGAGTAGCATTAGCACCTGCTCGTACCAGCCTGTGGGTAGGTACGGTATCACCCGAGTAACTGTAAATGTTGTTATGGGACAGCAGGATATTAAACGTGATGGAGGACGAACACGATGCTCCACCCATCTGAATGTCTGATGATAATACCATGACATCTGGCCCTATGTTCAACATCGACCGTTGTCAAGCTCACCAGGTTGAGCGAAGCACACAAGTCTGAGACGGCAAGTTGCATACTGTAAAATTAAATTCAGCCTCGAATTATAACAATGGTCGAACACTGTAGGCGTTACCTTCGCTGTTCTTCTTCACTCTCGAACATCCATCGAGTTGCATTCGGGTTGTTCTGCTTCCAATGGATAGCGTCGTTGAAGATGGGGACCACCCCGTTATGTGAAAGAAAACCCAGATCCTCGAGAGCAGCGTACTCGTAGAGATACATGAAGACGGTGCGATTCGCTACGACGTAAAGTGGAGAATCGGCAGGAGGGGAGAGCTGGATGAACACAAAGGTATTGACAAGGTGTAAGTACATAATCCGGAGAAATTTCACGAACGGATTGTCGCATTGCCAAGATTTTAGCCAGTCCAATGTGATGGTCGCCATGAATGTGACTAATGAATATGCATTTAAGGTCTCTCAGAGCTTGCGAGACATTATATGGCGTATCCGAGATACCAAAATGACGCGCAAGTTGGCCCCACGTGCCTTCCCCAGCATCGAGGAGAATATTACCATAATTGGGTATATGTATCAATGTCCCAGAGACTAATTGTTACCTTCAGTAAAATATATAGCCAAACGTACAAAAAAAAACACACCATTTCGGTACTTGCTCGGTACTGCACTTCCCGTTCCCAATGGTAGAATAGTGATATCATCTCCTGGCTGCTTTGGTACAGTGTTATTGGCTATGCGATCTTCAATAGCAGATTTCGCCTCAGCAAATCGCTTCATTGTTAGTTCTGGAAGAGAAAATGGTGCTGATGAAGACGTTGCAGGGTGGAATAGATCATAATGTTCTGTATCTTTTTCATGGAGTGGAGGGCGTGGGGGTCGGATGCTGATCATGACATTTGAACACATTGAAGATGTGTTTCGAGGTAGGCCAGGAACAACTGCGGAAGAGGTACGTTAGTACCACACGATGTTCAAGAAGTAAAGATATCCCCCACGCCTGATGTCTGTATCGGGCTCTAATCTATATTTTGGAATCTTGAATATTTCGCTGTCTAATTGGTTGAGTCTCAGCTGATTGAAAGCAGCACTGGTAAAAGTGACAGGGTCGTGTCCATGCTTTCGCGAAGCAACTATATGCTATTCTGCATCATCATCAAAGATTCAACAGGAACAATAGGCAAGGCCATACCTGCACATCAGATCCAAAACCATCCATGAAATCTTTATATCCCTCATCCTCCAGGACATGATTCCCACAAATATGAAAAACGGCGCGGACTGCGTGATCTTCTTGACTTCGCACCTCTCTGGACCGGAAGCTGGTAAATAGAGAGGACCGCGTGAATGCTGATGTGAGGAGAGGTATGTGGGATGGAGTAGGGGTATCCAGTATCAACATAACCTGGCTCAAGACATCAGGTAAAATATCACATCCAGATACGTAGAACTCACCCCAGGACTCTCACTCTGCCCCATACAGTCTTCAGGTCGTATGGTACGTTCCATCATTTTACCTTGACCTAATCCATCGTCAACCATAACAGTGACAGTCTCTCCCCTCGTCACCTTGCTCCGAAGAGGTCCTGGTTTTAATCCAAGGGCTTCTGCTTTTTTTACATCAAATTTTCCGCGTACACGTGGGCCCACTACAGCATAAGCTACAACAGGCTTTGAAGAAATATCTGTCGAGTCAGTATAGTTGAACTCGAGAGGTGGGAGTGGCTTGTTGAACCCAGGCGGTTGAGATATCCGGGAAATTTTTGCGACAGGTGGAGTGGGTGCTACAGAGGCGTCGTCGTCTATTTTTCCCTTTTTCTTGGCTCCTTTTTGCGATATCACCTGTGGTTTAACTGAACTCTCGATGACCTTTGGAATGGCTGTTCCTGGAAACATGGTCTGTATGACGAACCGCCTCCAGCTCTGAGCAAGGTCGCCTCTAAGTACTGCTGGCAAGAAATCGGATTTTTTCATGGCCTCCTGTAACGACAATTCACTTTCTGACGCTGGATACATTGGACAATCCGTGAATGGACATAAATATAGTGATCGAAATGAAGATATTTTACCGGTGATTTGAGAAGATCGTTTTGCAGAGCTAGGGGGAGAGGGAGTCCGTTTGCGCTTGGAATTGCGCGCGGAAGAGCTTGTAGGGATAACCGTATGTGATCCAAAACTATCCTGACTAGAAATAGAGCTTTCTGTCTCGATGTATGGTAAGATTGGGAGTGCATATACTGTAATATTGTCGTCCTTGTAAACTGGATCGGTAGATGAGGAAGATGGCGTCAACGGGACCTCTCGAGGATTGACAGACATATTATCACTGAGATATACGATGTTCATCACAATCGTAGAAGTACATCTAAAGGGACTTACCGAAAAGTATATTTTCTCATTGCAGCTAGGAAATGTAGGAGACCGTATGGACCAACAATGTCCATACTAGACAGACCAGAGTCGGCAAATGTCATCAAAAGACCTAGTTCAAACATGAGGGAAGATCTTATAAAGTCTGTAAATGAGTAAAGGAGGCGCACCTGGTAATCCACTTCCTCTCTGAGTCCCTACGGAAGACAAGAACATAGCCCTTGTCTTCTTCCAATTACGCCTGCTCTGAAGGAAAGCTCTGTTGGTATTTTCCCCTACATTGAAAATATATTTTGCAGAATCAAATGTGACGACGACTGTAGGCTCTGTGTCCGATGTTGTAGAGCTGAGAACCGAAGCAGACCAAGACATCGCAGGTTTAGCCTTTCGGGGAGTAGAAGAGTGAAAGTAGCGGGAAAGGGGAATATATGTACAGATTTTACGATAACATATCAAACTAGCCAGCTTGATCCGTTACTAACTTTCTAATCCCTCCAGATGACGGCCAAGAGGTACGATGCAAATGCAATAAGAATTCAAATATTCAAGTTACTGTCGCGGATGGCAGTAGTACTTTTTTGGTATTCGTACACAGCCACGTGTGGCTGCAGGTCCCAGGCTGTCACTGTCTCGAATGCTTGCCACTGCCAGTGGAGCGCCATTACGGGCTGCAGTCCTTCAAGTTGCACGCAAGTGGGCTACTTCTACTTCCGCCTTGCTCACTGATTGCATTTGATTCGATTTACATTCAAGTATCTGTTTTCTCTGAAATTCTTAACCGTGGCCAACCCTCACTGGCACCTCACCAAATTATCAACAAGCCGCTTTGAACTGAAACTTGGACGACCGAGCGTTTGACGATGGAGTCTTTGCAATCTCGTTTAGACTCATTTCTCAAAACCAAACGGATAAAAAAGCACTCCTCTAAGTCTTCGTCTACATCTGCATCAGTAAAATGGCCACATCCACCGACATTCAAAGCAACAGCCAGCACCCTCTCGGAAGCAGGATTCTACTTCGATCCAAGCTGGGACGATCGAGACTCTGTCGCTTGCTTTCTCTGCGGAAAAGAATTGAGTGACTGGGATGCTGATGACGATCCATTTGACATACATTACACCAAATGTCGTAATACATGTCCTTGGGCAGTTGTGAGGTGTGGTTTAAGAGACGATGTAGATGAGGATGGAAGGTACGCGTTTAAAATGTTATAATCAACGTGATGATACTTATATCATCTGCCCTACCATCGAAAGCTACATTTTTTCGAACAAAACGCGTCTTCCATCCTCAAAAATTATGGAAAAGGCACGTCTAGGAACTTTCAAAGGGGGGGATTGGTGGCCTCATGATGCGATTCCTGGGCATGGTGCTTGTTCCAAAAAAGTAAATACCGGTCGATATTATTACCTTGTTCACAGAAACTGATAGGATGTCTTAGATGGCTCAAGCAGGTTTTGTTTATACACCACAGATATCGGGCGACGATACTGCCACATGTCTGTATTGCAATCTTTCATTAGGTGGATGGGACAAAGATGATGATCCACTGTAGGTCCTGTTTTTATTGCGATGTGATTCAGTGGCCAATGGCATGTGATCAGCCAAGAACATCGCAAACGTGAAAGTAAATCTGGCGCCCTCTGCCCATTCTTTGCGGGGGCTTCTGCTCCTCCTTCAAAGCCCTCTGCCCCTTCTTCGCGATCAACTCTAGGAAAGTCAGCCAATACAAGAGGAGGGAGGACAAGAGCCGCGTCGCGCACGCGATCCAAGCCCAAAGAATCCGTGGTTGAAGAGGCACAAAGTCAACACTCCGAAGACGAGCTTGCCGTTGTGGAAATATCTGACTCGCCACCGCCTGTTCGGTCGAAGAGAACGAGTAAACGCCCTACTGCATCGAGTGTTGAGCCGCCTCCCACCACCAAGGCAAAGGCTGGTCCGAAGAAAAGCAATAGAGTACCATCAACGCGTGTGGCTCACCCGCCAGTTAAAGAAGACGCTGTCGAGTCTGAAGACAAAGACAAAGCTGTGGATTTACATGAGACGTCACCTCCCAGAGTCATACCAACTAAACGTCCTGCTGTACAGCCACCACCCGAACCTGACTCAGAGGATACTGAAGATTTCAAATCAGCTCATGAGGAACCACATTCTCAAAAGTCCAGCCTTAAAGGGAAGTCCAAATTGATGGTGGACTCGCCTCCTTCGCAGCCTCCAGAGTTGCTTGATGATGTCCTCATGCGACCACCTGCATCGGTAGCTGGGGATGCGGAGGTAACTGAGGAGCCTCTGCCAGAAGCACCTCACGTATCTGACGATGACACTCGAACGAAAACTCCTCCTCCGCATAAAGATGTGCCACCTGAATCTCCCATGCGTTACACACCACCAGGGACTCCTTCACGTGGATTTTGTACTCCCGTGAAGCCCAATAGATCTAATCAGGATTCTCAGTCGCAATTCGGAAAACACGTTACTTACACTTCCCAACCCGATGTCTTCCAAGACTCGAAGCCTATAATCAATCCCACCTCCGAAGTTACGCAAAGCGTGCCGGCTCCGGTTGTTCTCACTGAAGAAGAACGTCTGATGACCGTAGAGCAATGGATCCAACACGAGATAACACTTGGGACTGAGCGGTTACGAGCTGATGGATTACAGCAGATTGCGTTATTCAAAGAACGCGCAGAGGAGGTCAGAAGATGTATAGCAGCATTGTGAGAACGGAGTGTTCGGAACTATAGGTTGTGCGCGAGCGTCTTAGTTCATCAGATGTGGGGTGGGAAGAAGGTAGTATTATCATGGTCTGCTTAACGCTGAGTGGCCGTGCTTTATAGTTCCAGACTAATTCATGAGATCATGATTGTGTAGTTGCAATTATCTGATATATCCGAAGGTCGATGTTACCGGCGAAAGTATTTCGCCAGGAGCCAATGACTGGTTGAGCGAACACCCGATAAGCATACTCAGCAGCATACTCAGCGTAAATGAGGAAGAATCCAGCAATTACAGATTCGGTTCACGTTCACTAGTGCCGACGCGAGATTATTTATCATTGAACATCCATCCAGACCATCGGAGAGCAAATAAATTTCAAACAATCAGCATCACGTAACGGTATCAAGTGAAAGTGATTCAACAAAGTTACAGCAATTGTGCTGTGCTTGGATGCTGGGGCGATATATACCGATCATAGTCGTTGCAATACTCGGCGCTTAACATGTGGAAACCATCTCAACCACTGGCAAATGCTATACGACAACAGATGGCATCATGCCTATCAGGATCGTGTCAAGTACCCGGGCGATGTCGCGAGAAAGCTGCCCTTTCACGTCGTCTTATATAGCTCGAAGGATGATGATTCCATAAACCGCTTTTTACAGAGAAACTTTCTCGCTGGACGCTAACTTCTATTAGCACCACGAAGATGCGGTCTTTGCTTTGCTTATCCTGGCTCACTCTTTTGGTAGCTGGCACTTCCCAACATGGCGCGCACACTACCGAACCACCAACTGAGTGTCGTGCACAGTCATGGGTAAGAACTCCGGATTTGGTTCCTGGTCAGGTACTACGAGGAGAGGTGAAGGTGACGTTTGACGGGCTGTGTCCGGAGGTCGAAAGGTGTGTGCTCGGTGAGTCTAAAAATCGTTATAAATCTGTGTCTGTGCTTGAACACTATCGTATTCATGATATGCTTTCCCCCTAATTCATGGATAATCTATTACGGCAGACGTCCAGGGATACGGATGCCTAAACGCCCTCAAAATGACGGGGTGATGAGAACGTCATATCCTGATATCTACAAACCGTCGACGCGGTTATGGCAAACCATCAATGATACTGCTTTGGCAGCATGGGAACAAGCGATTGAAAATCGATCAATATGGATGGTACATGAAGAGGAGATGGTTGCCTTCGAGATCCAGCAAGAGTTGAAACAACCTTAATTCAATAATGGTACGTCAAAAATCAAGATGTGACATTCCAAACTGAATATTTGTCGTTATAAGGGGAAAAGACCAATGTCGTACAAGAGTTCGGCATTCTTGTTCCCAATACAAATTATCCACCTGCCCTAGAACATAACTCACTATATGTCATCGCGGATCAGGTAAAGTCCCTACAATGTTTTACTAATTGCAGACACTAATGATATTATGTTTCGTTAGGAAATTGCCGAGAATGAATCGATGTATGAGTATTATACGGAAATCCATTTCGCAAATGGCACGTCACGGGAGATTCATGCTGGCATCACATCATTCTTACTGGTGTATCCGAGTGTCAACGGAGATTTAGAGTCTATGAACTTGACATTTGAAGACATAGACTCGATCGGCGATGTACCGCTGCGAACTAACTTCACGGTGGAACTCACACTTCCCTCGAAGGCATTACTTCAAGGTATCGTTCACCACTGTACTATCATTAAATTCAGCTAAAATTGTACCTGGCAATTCCCTTGGAGCACAGGTTCCGAATACAATATTAGAGCAGTGCTACACCGTACAGGTCTTACCAATATAAGCGAGGACGTACAATACATTGGCTTGGAGTATAATCCTACAAGCACTCCAGGCCCGAAATCAATGACTCCCTACAACATTACGGGCTACAAGTCGAGGCGGCTGCAGTATGATCAGCTATGTGCTACTCTGGGCAGCGTCGAGCGTGTGAAAGGCAACAGCTTTGACCAAGGCACTCAGTTTCCAATGTCATTTCCAGAAGAACTGGAAGTTGCCAATCCCGTTGTCACCTCCACATGTTTACAACCTACTTTCCTACCGCTGTCTATAGGCGATTACGCAATCCCTACTTTCACAACGTACTATAAGCAGTTAGGAGGCCAACTCATCATGGCGCTTGTAGTGCGTGAAAAAAAACCGCGGCAGCCTGAAGAACATGATGAGGATCTTTATGATTGGCTTCCCTGGCCAAAACCAAAAGAGAATGCGGATTCGTTTAATTCTCGTATGCTTCGGGCAACAAAAGATATATCCGTGTTCTCAGCCCCTTCCTCACATGAATCTGACATCGCATTTGTCCACTATCTCTCTGCAGACGCCCGGACACCTGTGTTCGTTGACGTGTCCATGGTCGACGATTTGCTCTCGAGACCCGCAGAGGAACGGGAGTCGCTGGCGCCCCTCGCAGAACCAATAATTCGTGAAGCAGAGAAAGGAACAGAGGCAGTTTTTAGGTATTACGTTGACTATAGGAAACCTCCGATCTATGTTGGGATGACGTGGATGAAGAAGATGAGGAAAATGGAGGAAAGCCTTGCAAATAGCCGTGATGCTTCTTCGCAGATTCCTTTCAAAGGAAATTGAAGATGGCACTGCACAACAGGAATCAGTCTGTTGGATTTTTGCGATATTTGTGGTTAGCTTATATACAGGACGCAGTAAATAGGATCAAGGTCATAACTTGTGTACTATGTAAAGCTTATTTTATTTATTACAAGCACACTTTGAAACAATTCAATTTTCTATTCTTCACTACTAGCGTTAGAATACGTCCGGTCTCCATTGAATGAGTTCAACCTTTCATGTACGCTTTAATGAGTCGTAAAGTCTTATGAGACAACAGCATCTACTCGTACTTCACCAGCGTCCTTGCAGGGGGGGGCAGCCGACACATGGTATGCTGTATAGACTCGGAAGCGTACAACCAGCCATATCATCAGCCCTAAAGATTAAGCTCCTTTTACTTTGTGCGTCTGCTACGAGTACGTGTTGACCTTGGGCGCTTGGGGGCAGGCTCGTCCCTTTTATTCCTATCTGCAATTCGTTTGGTTCCACTAAGGCTGCGTGAAGGATTGCTGGGCCCAGATAAGGGTGCATCTGGAAGGACAAGGTGATGGTCGACAGGCAGGAAAAGTGGTTTCTTCACACCTTGAAGCTGCAGCTGGTATCTCTCCCTTCCAGCAGCGATAATCTCCGGAGACGACCCCACCCTATCAAACTCGGGCTTTATACCATTCCGCATTTCTTTCATAACATCCACCATCTCTTGATGCGACATAGGGGTGGGGGGAGGATTATAAAGTGTGTCGCCGTTGTCATCATATGCGGCAGTCCACATAAATGTATTGAAAAGTTTCTCCATCCCTGCCCTGACAGAAGCGTGGCTGCGAAAATAAGGATTTATGCATACCATAAAATGTAAACGTGAGAGCATAAGCTTTTCCGTTGCTACATTCCAGGCGTTGAGTGAATGACATCCCCACTTGACCCACATAGGAATATTGTCGTGCTTGCGCTTGCTGTGAGAAGAGAGTAGCGACTGATGGGATGGGATATACTGGACGCCTCCCTTGGTACCGTTGCTAGGGAGATCCTCTTGGTAGTCAGACGTACTGTGGCCAGGATTGTGTGATGAGGAACGACTGTACTGATGAGATGATAAAGTTTCATGCTTCTGCTTCTGAGACGCTGAGCGCTTTGAGGATGCAGGTTTATTGTCGGTCTCTGTTACCACAGTTTCCTTCTCTTTCTCACTCCAGTCGATTTGCTGACAGTAGGGACCTTCGCAGTTGATCATAATCAACCATAACATCCAGAATACCGATTCCAAGTCGTGCATGTAACCATGCGGTACCTCAGGCCGTATGATTCTCCCTATAGCTTGATAAGGATATGTTCCCTGACGTTTCCAAAGATATAAGTAGTGATTCTTCCATAATTGATTTAGGAAAACTCACCGTCAAATATTTTGTGGTCCTTCCAGTCTCTCCATTTTGCACGTCTTCAGCCATCGCCCAGTCTCCTAGAACACCAGGGCGTTGCGGATACCAGTCATTACTGGCGCTGTCAGGCCAATCTGGGACAGTAAATTGAGGCAAGGCAGCCTTGACTCGAAGCCATGAGTTGCCGTCACTAACGTCGCAATGGATGAGACCACGTCTCATGTAACCATTCTGAAGGCCTGTGTTGCCAGACATTAGTAATGAATGAAATGAAGGTAAATAATCTTATCTTACCAAGTAGAACACCGATGATCCCATCCAGCATCTCACGTACACAGGAGAACCACACAAGCTCCACCCCAACCGTTTTCATGGCCATGCGATGATGTGTAAGGTCCTCCAATGCAGCCAACTCCGAAACTCCAGCGGCGGTCATGATAACTTTGGTTGTGTCCTGAATAAACGTCCCAGGATGTATAATAGATGGTACGAAAGTCGATGATGGCAAAAGACGATGGTCTCGAATTGGAATCCCTGGCAAGAAACGGGTGTCGTCCCAACCGGTGTTTGCCCTATCATATAGGGCATCCACTTCTGGGTTTCCAGATTTGATAATGTCGTCAAAAGATGCAGGAGGGCGCCCGTTAGGAAAATGGAAGATGGGCGTCGAGTCACTTGTTCTGCAGCCTGAGAAAAATGGATCCCTTGCCAGATCTTCTAGCTTGTCATGGATGTCGCTGTCGGAAGGACTACCGGTGGTCAACCAACAATCTTTGACGACGACGTGATCAGGATCTTCAGGTGCATCAGGCCTGCCACTGGAAATCTCCACCACCATAACCCTTGTAGCTCTTCCCAGCAGACCTGTCGGCTTGAAGAGAATTGCGATGACTTTACAAAGTAGAGTGGCTGCGCCTTGCTCCACATGCAAAACCGGCACACCGTCGTCATCGTATTCCATGGCATAGTCGTAGCCTAACCATGCAATCTGTGAATAGCGTAGGAAAATCATTGTTCTGATAAGTAGTTCAGGATATCTGTTGATGTTGAATGGGGAACTGGTAGCGTTTCCTCCTCTCGTGAATAATGATATCCTTAGCATTGGCCCACAAAGAGAAAGTCCTATATAAAATCTCCTAGTAACTTGCTCACGAAGGATGAACAACGCGGTATCCGCCAACTGGCCTATGGCAAGGTTGGCAAGGTGAGGAGAGTCTGCGTATTTAACCTCGCACGTAGAGAGTAGGTGAAGCCAGGTATATCCCCCATCCACAACGTCATCGACGAGCATCAGGTCTGGTTTGCGTCTATTGCTCACCAGCCTTTCTGCAGATGATACCCATTGACGCGACTTCCGCATTGAAGCATCCATGAGAACTGATTTCAAGTCATCATCTACGACCTACCTCACATTCAGCTGATTGGTAAGAGTCCTCTGCGCATAACGACTCACCTTATTGAAGAATGATGCTATCTTTCCTTTTTGCCTTTTCCTGTATTCGGTGTAGAATGATGGGGAATAGTCTTGACACCAATCACGCATGATATATTCACTAGGTCCAGGACCTTTAGTACCTAGAAAACGCCAAAGTTCCTCCATCATAGACGCCACACTCTCCTTTGACACACCTCGTGAAACCTGGCGTCTTGTATAAAGATCCATGCTTGCAGGTCCTGACATGGTGAGTACGTTGGCTGTTGTTTCTTTGACTGGGGGTGAGCCTGAGCATGCCACACTGCAATTTCAACTGCGCAAGAGTCTAGTTTGCTCGTAAAGGCTTCAAGAAACTGTGCATCTTCAATCCATTGCTTCAGAACGTGCAGTACGTGCGGGGTTTCACGCGGTTTCTGCAGCTGCTCTTTGAGGAAGATGTCTATGTAACCCTTCAAGTCGTAATAACGGCCTTTTGTTTTGTGACGATTGACAAGACTGAGTATAACATTGGTATTGGCCCAAAGTGGCATGGAGGTGAATTGAATATATGGGTAAAATCCGTTACTTGTAAGTCGGTATAACTATGCATACTCCGCTCCTTGTACAGTTCTTCGTCCATTGCCTGGTGAGTTGCTATTTTATTCAAGCTATGTGGCTATACAAAAGACGTCAATTAATGTGCCTTCCATCAGCCAGTAACCATCCCAGTAAAATGAGAGGCTCACCCTGTATATGTAACTGAGATTCACTTGTGAGGCACCGGGTGGAGGAGGCTCAGCGTAGCCACTGCCGTCTCCCCACTAATATGGTAAGCCTAGTTTCCCACATGCTAGGGGTAGGGCGTTAACTCGCCATTGTGATGGAGATCCTTGTAGCGCTGGACCGTGGCAGGTCAGGCTGTGTCGAGGTGAAGTAGAAACCTGTTAAAGCGTTGGTTAAGCATGCTATATCGGTCTACTCTACCTTGTCTCCTTCTATCACAATAACATTAATAGTACTTCCATGTTCAGCATGTTTGATTCGTTTAGGAGAGATGAATGGAATTGTCAGCAGGTATGTAGCGCGAGGTGCCACTGAGTGTAAGGAATGGCCTCACCGCAGGCAGGACCGTGAGAAGTCCCGCTCACCGTTTGATGACGGGACTGTCATGCCATGACACACAACGTCGAGAAATTCCAATCAACCATGCACAACAACCTGGTCAATGTAACGAGTTTTTGGCAGTAGACTTCACTCGAAATATAGTCTATTTTCAACTTGTAGATAAATATTCGTTGTTTTTTGAGCACAGTGATTTCCAACATATCATCAGTTGATTATCCAGAACAGTAATATTCCTCAGGCGCTGGATATATCTGAGTTCCCGGGATCGAACCTCGCCCATTTAACTGTCCAAACAGAACTCTTGACTCGATAAAATACCCTCAAATTAATGGTATGTATTGACAAGTACATTTCGTTTTCTTTTTAGGCTTCAATAAAACTTGCAGAATGCAGTTTGGAGAAATTCCAATCGGAATCGCGGTAATCGGAATTTCGGAGTTGGCAGCCTTTACGCCTTTTTGTGCATAATGCCTACAACCAACTTACAACCAACTATTTGCTTCGTACTGACAATGTTTTTACAAGCAATCTGTTACCTTGTATAAAATCAAGTCTTAAGCGATGTCCTTAGTACCCCCTATGTCAACAAGCGGTCAAACGGAACCCAACTCTGATACTACGACGCTGGTACCCGATCGTGACCTCATACATCGCGTCTTTGCTCAGGTCTGGACAGAGTTCTACAAGTGGGAGCAACAATACAGTCGTGATAGAGTCCAAAATCTGTCGCGTTCAGATCATTATCATACATCTCCCTCTGCCCCGGCTATAGTCAAGCTCTCAGAGAGGCTGTCCAATGTTAGTATGACTCAAGACGTGGAGATGCAGCTGGAAATGGACCGGGCGCGAGAAACCATGCAGTTCGAGAGGTTCTACGAAGATGGCTCCAGTTCAATTTCTCCGATCACGTTGCATGTCATCCATGCGCCTGAAGTGCAACCGCACAGTAGCTACGAAGCGTGTGCCCCCATACAACGCAGCGTTTTTCACGGCGACGACTCCGACGCAATGCCCTTCATGCCCTTCGCTGATGAACCGGAATTCGACGCTCATGATTATGCTCAGTTTTACGGTTCGTTTGCATGGGAGCAAGACTATGATCCAGACTGTGAGTGCAATCGGATCTACTTTTGAAATAGAGCCTGCCAACCTTCATTAACAGTAGAGATTATCGTACTTGAAGCCGCTCACCGTCTTCGTAATCTACACGATATCAGCTTTCAGCGAATAGACGAGAGTGTCTTACTTCCATTCACCCTGCTTTCAAAGGACGGTCGGACTGGCCTTCTTGAAATGTCTCGAAGTCGGTAAATCCATTTTTCAATAGTGTCTTTAAACAACACCTCAGTCAAAAATGATGTCTACTAGGGACCTGCTAAAGTGGCCAGGTTTTACTGCGACGCATCATTCTCTGCAAGCCGCTTCTGAGCCTGCCGCACACGACCTACGTACTCGTCTGAAGGGCGCTATCTCTCTCTTTTGTCCAAACCTTAGCTGTGTTCAACCCTGGTGCAGCGTACACGGTATGCTCTCTTCTTTAGTGTTAGTTCAAATTCTCTTTGGACTCAACATAGCGTATTTGCTACAGTGGAGCCTTACCCCATACCAAATCCAAAAGAGCCAGATCCAAAACTAACCCGCAAAGGGTTTATCAAAGTCGCTGGGAAACCTTGCGGAGACGACTGCTTCGTTAATAACCAGGATTCGCCCCCGGTACGCCCAATTCGTTCATTGTCAAATGTTACTCGTTCATCGTTGGCGATAGGACATCTTGTGGACCGAAACTGACTTGGAGACATTCAAAGTCATATTTGAGGTCACGCCAGACACAATGCCATGCGATTTAGCAGTACTGTGCCGAAAGCCCTGCCGAGAGGTAATGCAAACTGAAATGCTCCTCTTCTCAGGGCGCTTTTTTTATCGTTTCAGCCATAGGTTTTTCATCAGCGAAATGTGATACTTCAGAGTCCGGCTGAACCTGTTCCCGATTCAGCAAAACGGAAGTTGAGACCACGTGCTCTAGAATTCAGTGGTATGTGGATGGGTGCTCGTTATCAAAAACAGTTGTTCACCGACTTGACATCAGATATAGATGCGAATAAGTTCACGCCGTGCGTGCCTAAGCGAGTATACACTGGTATATCTCAAACTAATTCCTACTCCGTTATATTCAGCAACAAACCATGCCATCACGACGGACCCTGTGACAGTCTTTCGAGATGTAATTGTTTTTTGAACAAAGCGCACTGTCAGCGGAACTGCCACTGTACGCTGAAATGTACGCTCAAAGTTCCTCTCGTGAATATGATATACTGACCGCTTTTTGGATTATAAGGTGGACGTCGATGGCGCGGCTGTCGCTGCGCCACGTCTAAGGCTCACGGCAGCTGTGTAAGTGACAAATGTGCGTGTTATATAGCACATCGAGAGTGCGATCCGGAACTCTGCTTGAAGTGTAAATGCAAGTAAGTTATACCCGATAGTCTAATTCTGAAAGCTGTACAAAATTTTCTTTAAAAATTTTCTAGAGGTACATCCTCTGTTTCTTCAGAGACTAGAAAGAAAAATAGATTGACTGGGCTTCTAGATTCCACTAATAATATTTGTCAAAATTCTCAGATTCAGCGAGGGCATTCCAAAGTACGTCCTCCTCTTTACGTTTGCCTACTCACATCACTTTCCACGTTGATAGGGACTCGATGTTAAAGAAGGTACCTGGGGCTTAGGTACATTTATCACTGAACCTGCAAAGGAAGGGGATCTCATCGCAGGTCTGTGGACTAGCCCTTGGGGACTCGCTCAAAGCTCATCCTTATCTAATGCGCTCTTCTTCATAGAATATGTGGGAGAAATTATATACGAAGCTACCACGGAGAGCCGCCAGTGAGTACTGTTTCAGCGTTTTCTTTTGTTCTCGCACCAAGCTCATATGAGCCTCTAAGGGATGTCGCTAAGTACAGAGGTCGAAATTACCTATTTGGCCTGAACGATACTTTATCATTGGACAGCACGTATGTGGGAAATGCCGCCAGGTTCATCAACCATTGTGCAGATACGTCTGGCTCACTTTCTAATTGTCGGGCATGTGGTACGTCTGTCTTATTTTGTTCATCAATGCGCAAAGTCGGATCGCTGATGTTGCTTATACTCTCAGTGCGGTTAGTCAACGACGAACACCGTATTGGCATATATGCCAGTAAGCTTTGACTTTTACCTAAACAGGCTATGGTTTAAATTCCTATAGTGCAAGATATTAAAGCTGGAGACGAAATCCTCATTAACTATGGGCCTTCTTTCTTTCTCGATAACAATGGAAATAAGAGTGTCATGTTGTCCCAACAGTAACGGCTATCTTTCTGGTACGAAGGTCAATCAGTCGCAGACAGTGGTGACAATATATTATAGCAATGATTCACAATTGCTTTCGATGGGCGTATGCGTACCATAATTACCAAGGAAATGTGATTAACCCAGTGTTTACGTATGCGTGCAGGTAGCTGTATGTGCCGGGGACTGAGATGTCCCGATTTATCTCTCAAACCTCTCGGCCTCCTCGCTGCCATAACCCGAACCTCCTGTGTTGTGACCTGCAGGTCCTTGCTGCTGATGCGACGGCAACACAGGATCTTCCGCCGCATTTCCCTTTCCTTGGTCGGGCTCTCCTTCACTCTTTTTGTGCTTCAAGTGTTCGTTCTGATCGCCATACGTTTTATCTTTGGGCTGGCGCGATGCTTCTGGTGCCTGGCCTTTCGTCTTGTCTGCATGGCAAACCGCGGAGGTATGATATTTTCTTGACTTGGATGGATTCGTCCCCGTCCCTGTGACACCCTCACCACCATCCTTGTTCTGCTTCACGTCATCAGAAGTCGTGCCGACTCCTAAAGCTTGTTTGATAGTAGAAAATAATCCAGGAGGCGTCGACTCCTCCGCTCCTCCCATCATCGTGCCACCCCCGGGCTTGTTCTTGCTTGCAGTGGCACCTGCAGTGGCGCTTGCAGACCCCACCTGGTCCGCAAACCCAACGCCTTCTGGGTTTCCCTTTGCGCCACTGGGAGCCTTCTCGCCACCTGTCGTGGGAGATGCAGCATCGTGAGGGACGGGTTCGTCGGCTGCTGCGTCGAGTGCTTTGTGGGTTACTTGGGAATGGGGGTCTTGTGAGTGCCTTTGTGACGGGTCTGTTACGTGACCTTGCGAGAGAGAAGGGTCTTGTCCTGGCTGGCCAGGGTTGAACAGGGGTCTGGTGGTGGACAGCAGACGGTAATGGGAAACAGTGCTACGACTGATGCGGAGCCTGGTTCTGAATGCAGAGCGACGTATTGATTGCATAACGAACAAAGTGGGTGTGAACAGGATGTGTGAAAGAAATCAGTCAGAAACAGTTTATGCTTTTGTAGACTGGCAGACGGTGAGTGAGATGTGCATGATGTCATCATAGTATCATCTTGTTCTGATCTGAGATTCAAATCACATATATCTCGGTGACCTCACGTTTGGTCCCGGCGGTTCCTCTTTCCTCCCCTCCCTCTTCGTGCTGGCTACAGCCAGAGGGCTTGCGGTTAACAGATATGAAATGCACAAAGCACCCGTGCACTTGAACCCATAGGAATGACGACGGTTTACGCCTCTGCCAAGCAGCATCCCTTGCCAGTCCTTACAAGTCATAATCATAGGAACGCAGGAAGCATCATCTCGCTGAGCCGCCGATCACTGGTGACCTGAACTCTTAATAGGAGCCACCCGCCGTAACCCGAAACCATAGCACCTACACATTCACTTGTTTCGAGTTAATTAGCACTACATTTGGATCTGAGCGAAAGCAATCGGAAGCACGTATTCCTACTCCCGCAACTGCACCTCCCCTGGTCGGCCCTTCCAGTTCTAGCCGCCGCGACGAGCACAGACCAGACCCAAATACCACATGATTTGGTATAACTTTTATCCGTCTCTTTATCTTTCGCTCTCGCACGAGAATTCCGCAAGGCAAGGAGGCACGAACTACGGGCGTTTGTCTGAGCCTAGCGTTAGAGGACATTTATCTTCATCTATTGGATTTTTACCGCCAGGATATCCAAAAGCAGAATAAACGGAGAAATACCGAGGTGTAGTATTTTTGGTTATGCTTCAACGGGCCAGGATAGTGGTTTGTGCACATGGTCAACTTGATGACGAGGCAAGCGACACAGTCGGGCTGAATGTGCGCGGTACAGGACAGTGTTCTCGAATCCACGTATGATCCAAGTCTGCGCTGACGGCTTTTGCGTGAATAAGATGAGCGGATGTGATCTGATTTTTGGGGTGGTGAGGCTCGAGTTACGACATGATCCCAGGACAACCAATCGGAATGCCGACATGCCGACATATTGATTCTTTCTGAGGCACTTCCATATAAACTTGTGCTATCCACCAGCTCCACTCTGTTTTGTTTCCTGCGTCCTTTTTTCATGACCTGGTCAGATGTCCCAATATCCGTCGACGAGATCGTTGACGGGAAAATATACATCGGAAAGTGAGTTTTTTTCTTATCGCTAGCACCAGTATCTTCTTTCCTTACATTCCCTCCTGTCATTAGCCTATCAGCTGCCCTTTCTCTGGAGTGGCGCTCAAAGTTAGGCATATCTCATGTCCTTTCAGTCTGTCCAGAATATTCTTCAACGGGTCCTAAACACTTGACAATATGCGTTCAAGACTCAGAGTACGAAGATCTTCTCATCCACTTACCTCAGGCATGTCAGTTTATTCAGTCTGCGTTGGATGAAGGTGGTAAAATACTCGTGCACTGTGTCATGGGCGTGTCCAGAAGTACCACCGTTGTATGTGCTTACTGTGAGTTGAATGATAACTGTTTCAATGTACACTCTGTGGTGCTGAGAATCACCGTTTATGCTATATATTTCCGTCTTCAAGTAATGGCTACCCGTCGATGTTGCGCTCCTGCAGCTATACAATTTATTCGAAAACGTAGGATATAAGAAAACGTTCCTTTCATTCCTGTATCAACAGTCTCATGCATGACCAATCAGATCGCGCTCAGGTGCACCCTAACTATGGATTCTTGAAGCAGCTGCAATGCTTTGCTGATTGTCGCTATAAACCTTCTTGCACTCACCCCGAATATATATCTTGGAAACGCCGCCAGAAACGCGAGGTTACGAGATACCTCAACATGATCAGTGACACCATACCTGTAATCCAAGATCAACTATACTTCAACACGTTTGTCCCCTGTTCTTTGCTCTCACATATATACACATTCTTATATCACATTTATGTGACACAGCGAGCTCCCCAGCGACCCGATTGCCGCAGACTCGTTGCTATTAGATATGGGCATGACTCACATTCTTTCCTTGTCTTCTGCACAGTTTGCGATGCCCGAGCTTCCGTCCACATTCACACACCAACATATCGACATCCCGAATCAGGCGCGCGAGGCATTATTATTAGAAATGCCGGCAGCATGCAAGTTTATTGGTGATGCAATCGCGAGTGGAGGCCAAGTCCTTGTGCATTGTCGAGTCGAACTTCGAGCTTGCATCGTCGTTTGCGCATACCGTGCGTGTTGATTTGTTAACGTGTTGCAACAGCTGGAGTATACTTAATCAACTGTTTCTTGCTCCAGTAATGTCTACGCGGAAAATACCCCCACGTCAGGCCTTCAGAGTTCTAGAATCCGGTAAGCCAAGCGTAATCCACTTGTTCTTCACCCTGTTCTAATACATTTTCTTGGGGCACCAGTACTCCCCCTATTCATACCCACATCCAACTTTTATCGCCATCTCGAGCTTTTTGCAGCATGTAATTATAATCCAACACTTAACCATCCCCTCGTCCAGGCTTGGATAGTTGAACTTACATTCGGCCATGTATCACCTGGAACGACGAATGCAAAGGCGACGTCTTCAAGCTCGAGCGCGGTACGCAATTGTACTGTTCCTACTGCACCGTACGACATGGCTACGGTCAATGAGGCGCTGGCTCGCATTCAGACAACGAGTTTTGTGAAGGTTTAGATTGTAATAGTGGTTGTTTTTCGATATATATGACACGAAGTGCCTGCAGCGCGTGTAAATTTGCTGATTTTTCTCTTTGTTTTTATCATATGTATTGTTCTCTCCGTTCTCTACATGTATTGTCTTGATAAAATCTTTTATCGTACCCATTGCTTTGAGCTTTACCTGAGTTTGAGCTTATACTATAATTATCAAGTGTTCATTTCTGTTGCGAATTTTCTCACCATCATCTCGCCATTTCAAATAGCTAACGCGAGTTTTCACAATGTTGACCGGATCATCGTGCATATATGTTCTAGTATTTTTCACATGTTTCTGATCCGATCCATTGAAATGTTTTGTTGCTTGCATGTTGCTGATCCACTGGGAATGTAGCTGAGTCACCCCGAGCCTGACTCAAACCTCCGTCTAACCCGGGATGTTCTTTTGTACAAGTATATCACGAACCGGCAAAACCTACTGGACTGTAAATTACCATGGCCATCACCACCAAAGCCAAAGATGTCGCCATCATAATCGCCGTCTCGGGTGTAACAACTCTCAACGTGAGTATCTCGGTGCCACCTATATTGGTAGTAGCTACTTAGTTGGGAATAAAAGCTGATGGTGGTGTCGACTTTTAGGTATTTTTGACAGGATCGCTGACGGTCGCTCTGCCCACTATTGGAAAAGATTTGAACTTTAAGCAGGTCAGCAATGCCGCTTTTGGATCCTCTGACGATGATGTCCTATAGGTGTTAACAGGCAGATCTTCAATGGCCTATTAACGTATATGCGTAAGTTGGAAAATATCTCATATGAGACGTATCTGCAAAATAAATCTGACCGGTGTCTTAGTCTTTCATATGGATGCCTCCTCCTCCTCTTCGGAAGAGTAGGGGACATAATTGGAGGGAGGACTATGTTTCTTGTCGGGTCGATCTGGTTCACGATTTGGTACGTGACAATGATTCTTTCTCCCTTTCATGACCCCTCAACGCAATTGAATCTATAGGAGTATCGCCACAGCCTTTGCCCCAAATGACACGGCTTTCATCATTTTCATGGCTTTGAAAGGGATGGGAGCAGCAGCAAACACTCCAGCAGCCATCGGCCTCTGCTCATCATGTTTTCCTGAAGGTCCGAGCAGAAATAAAGCTTACAGCGCACTCGGTGCAGGGCAGGCGATAGGTTTCATCATGGGTCTCGTTTTGGGTGCGTATCGCCTGTTCTTATGCAATTTGACTTGCCTATTAGCCAGTTACAGTAACTTACCGTTCAACGCGTTTACAGGTGGAGTACTCACTGAGACTCGAGCTACGTGGAGATCCTTGTTCTATATCCAAGCCGGCCTAGGAGCACTGTTCGTTCTGCTTGGATTCTTGGTTCTCCCCAAGGATAGAGCCATTCGTCGGTACTCCAAGGGCCTTGATTGGGGAGGTGCTCTGCTCAGTACTACAGGTCTTGGCCTGCTGACTTACAGTCTTGCGTTAGTTGAAACTGCTTTGGCGTCATAGGCGAATTTGCTCACCCGTTTCGTGACAGGGACTCGGCAATTGCACCCAAAGGGTGGTCTTCCCCCCAGATACCTAGCTTGCTAACGGTGTCGGTGCTCATCCTGGGTGCCTTCTTATACTACGAACGTTGGAGGGAATCTAAGAATTTGTCTGTTCTTATACCTCTCAGCATGTGGCGGCAGCCAGGTGCTAAGATGGGCAGTCTCGTCGCGCTTGTTTTCTTCGCCTGGTATAATCGTCTCATTCGGATTTCGATATCAACTATGGTCCTGATTGTTCTCAATACAGGTGGAGCTTCAACACGCTTTCATATTTCATGACTCTCTAGTTAGTGCTTGACAATCAAAGGAACATATATTAGCTTACTGACCTAGAGATGACGAAACAGCTATCAGCAAGTTGTCTTGTTGGTCCCACTTCAGACCTCCCTCCGTTTCATACCGATGGCAATTTCTGGACTGTTTGCTAATGTCCTCTCGGGTTACTTCATGACCAAAGTTCCGGGACAACTCCTCATGCTCATAGGGCTAGTCGGCGGTGGTGTTAGTGCTTTATCATAACATTCTATCTCCAGCATGGCTCAAAATTCTGTCTAGATTTCTCCAATCCTCTTCGCTCTCATCGATGTCAAACTCACTTACTGGGCCATGGGATTCCCGATAGCCGTCCTCATTGGTAGGTTTTCATCGATCATCGCTAGAGCACCTACAACTAAAAAAATGTCTAGTATGGAATGACGTTGCTTATCCACTCGGAAACTTGCAGATCGCATCCGCTTTTGACGAAGATTCGCAGTCACTTGCGGGGGGGGTCTTCAATGTAGCCACGCGCGTGAGCTCAAATCCATACGACAACCTATGTCTTGTTCTGACGCTGCAGTGCCTTTCCTCCAGATCGCTACATCCATTGGTCTGGCTATAACGAGCAGTATAGCCACATCAGTTTCGGAAAGATATAATGCTCAGCACCCAACGCTTGCTCCTGACTCTCCGGAAGTCTTAATGGTTGGATTCCGAGCAGCTGGATGGACTTGCTTCGCAGCATCTGCTATCAGCGTACTGATAGCTATCTTTGGGATGCGTGGGATTGGTAAGGTTGGACAAATGAAGTCCCACAGTTCATTGCAAGAAGGGCCCCACGACATTTCGATGGGTGATATCAAGTTGGATAGTGATGGAAACTCCGGAAGCAGGGGTCCTGGTGTGGAGATTAAGCAGTCTGAAGAAATTATTGTTATAGCATAGTCGAGGCTGATAAGATCCTGGCCTGCACTATAGATTAGATTTGCTGACTCAAGATGAATCAAGAACTCTATCATCATCATCATCGTCACCATCACCACCACCATTATTCTTACCAACGCCATCCTCTTTAATCTCTCCTCCACTTGCATCCTCGTGACGATTCCAATACCTTTCACCATAATTAAGCAACAGCTCCATTCCACGTCGTATTTTTCTTACTACATAGACCCAAGTTAGCAGTTATGCTGCGAGTCTCTGAATGAATACGACAATTCTACTCACTAGCAAAGAAAGCAATACGAATTTCATTGTTGACGAGCTTTGCTATACGTGTGATGAATGGCCAAGGTAAGAATGTAGTCAAAAGAGTACTAACTTCTTACTTCACAATTCGCTTCCCCGTCTATGCCATGATTTACAAATCTTGTCGCATTACCCATCTTTAAGGCATCGATATAGGCATATTTGCTGGCCTCAAAAAGATAATTGAGGCCCTTATAGTCGTATTCCATGCTATAAATTATATTAGTTGAAATATCAAAATATAAAGAATACCAATCAATACCTAAAGATATTGGCTTGTTCTTCATCATACAATAAACCCACATAATCTACTTTGTATCAGCATTGCATAGTTATTGGCGAAAACATATCATCTTGACCTCCTATAAATTCATTTACGGCGATATCTTTGCTAGCATATGCTCCTAGACCATACTGGCCACGCTTGATAATTAAATTCTGTTGTCACTTCATTCAACTATGCAGTAACAAATAGAATGATGGATGGATACCTTGCCGCGCCCTTGTTGAATTTGGATATTTTGACACGGAGTACTTGTGGCTCCTAATCACAGCATGTCATCATCTGAATGATCTTTCTCGGGAAACGTACAATTATACCTCTATCATATAGATGAGTCAATATTAACATTGCATAAGAAACACTCGGTGCTTACTTTGCATCGCATCTGGTGCATAACTCTGGATCACACTCCCTTCCCGATCTTAAGCATTTGCAGGTGTCCTTTTGGCAAGACTTCGTTCCTCTATGACACGTGCACCCTTTCCATCGACGCTGGCCTTCGGGAAGACATCAAAATGAACATACTTGGTACGTACTCAGATCAACAACTTACAGCTAAGGTCGCACCGACAATTACGCGAACAATGCAGAGAATTCTCATAGCAATGACACGATCGACTGTCGCATGGTCCTTTATGATGGCACGGCGGAACTCTGTGTGAAAAATTCAGCATGTGGGGAATTAATAGCGAAAATAGCGTTTACGGGACATATGGATTGACATTCGAGCTGCCCAGTTTTGCTGCATCCTCTGTGTGGTGACTTTTGTCACAAAAGCTTCTCTACAGTTGAAAAAGCGGGGCTTACTGAAAAACTTCTTCTTTCTAAGCCTCTCGATAGGTTCATCGACTACATCCTGGATCCTATGGTCTGGGAAGAGACGTGATCGCATGACAAAAACCTACAACCACGGCGTCAGCGCCAAAGTATGTGTTAAGCCTGGTTCATACTTCACGACAGGGCTTGTGGCACAAAATGGCCAGTAAACAAGGGAATAAATCAGCTGTTGTTGCAAGGATGACTGCCAATATGTCGCTGTCTGGGCCTTCCCAATTAACAGTATCCTGGTAAAGGACAAGATAATAAGCCAAACGGTATATTGTAAATAGCTTGGTATTACCGCGTAAGAATCATCCACATGATAACGAAAGCACTCTTCACCACACGGATCCCCTTCGCTGAGGAGCATACTAATGCTAGTCACCTTTGGCTTCTCTGCATCATAAACAGGATACAGACCTTCGGGAGGAAAGTCCTAAGCACACCAAAGAAAACACCACGAAATGACTCACATTCATGCGTAGGACATTTCGCTTGCATACAGTTGAGATTCGGACAAAATATAGGAAGGATCGAGTTCAAGCGGCCGCGCAAATCATCGGAGGCAGGCGCATATGAAGTAGGTAATTCTTCATGTTCATTGAAGGCAGCCCCTGGCCAGTGTATGAGATCCCTGAGAAGGATGAATGAGGATGACAATCATTCAAGGGGTTTACTTTGAACAAACCGCTGCGACGCTTCCCACAACAAGCCAAATGTGTCGCTTTCGCGAAGCCGTGGCAAGATCTTTGAGCGGTCTATGTCTGCCAGAGATATATCATAAACGTAATGCATTCGACGGGCGGTCTCGAGATCGATCAGTTGTACTAGAAAGTGAAGGTGATGTTTTCAATGCAGAGCAGCTGCGATAGGTAGTGCTTACTGTCTGGGTCTTCATGATCTGATTCCCAATGAAAACTGTCAATACCCTTCAAAAATTCCTTGACATCAAATTCAGGTTCATCCTCATAAGGAATGAAAGGTAAATTAAAGGAGCCACGACCGCAGGCAAAGGATTTATTAGTTGGCAGACAGGATTCATAGTTCGGATGAGGCTCAAAATATTCGACGAAGATCTCCTCCAAAGGGATCCGGGACTCTGTAAATGTCCCATCCGGATTAGCACGGGCAAAGACACAGCTGGGACTATCCATGTCCATTTCATTGTCCAGGACCTGTGGTTCATTGTGATCGATCATTTCTGACAGTTTTGTGGTGACCACCCATGCAGCAGACTCATCGTCCGCTAACGAATCGATTCGTTGCTGACAATAATCGGGCTCCCATTTGTAGAACTCTGTCCAAACTTCCCGATAGACTGTAGTTCCGACTTTTTGAAGTTTAGCAAGGTCCGAGTCAAGGAATTCCTGATTTTCTTGTTCCAAGGGATCAGATGAGAACAGTTCGTCAAAGTCGCTCATGGCGATCGACTAGATCGCTGGATACCCCGCGATATGCGTGAGATAAGAAACAAAACTGATTATGGGAAGAAAGTAATAACACGTTAGCGTTGACAGTGACTCGGAGAACTGATTTTCAGCCTAACGCGATAGCGTTTGCAAATCCAAGCAAGATGCGTTAATTGATGGATATGAAGATATCGAGTTGTCGAGTGAATGCTAGTATATTCAAGAAATCCCTCTTGCCTGCCAAAATACAAGCTGGGCTGCAGTAGCTCCAAGAATAACTCTGTGCTGGTGCGGTCAGTTTGAAAGTTCGAAAGAGCGGTTTGGCTTTGGTCGTGTTTGTCCCCAGTCACAGTGTCTCTACTCGCTACATTTAGACTCAGGTCAGCTCACAGGCGGAGAGGCGGTTTACTAGTCCTACAACGGTTTCAAAGTTACATTGAGGCAGCACCATGGTAGAACGCACGAATGTGAACATGTTATTCGCCAACTTCAACCAGGATTTCTCGTACGTGAGGTTGACCTGCGTAACGTTCTGGTTGCTGATTCGTATCCAGGTGTATCTCCGTTGGTACACGCAAGGGTTACAGTATCACGAACTGCGATCCGTTTGGCCGAGTGTATACAATGAGTGCGTGTCCTTTGCAAACATACGAGACATGGCTGCACGCCATCTGTGAAATACTTAATCCGCGTGTTCTCAGACGATGGAGCTCGAGGAATAGTCGAGATGCTGTTTTGCACTTCTCTCATCGCACTCGTCGGTGCGGCGGATCAGCCTCAATCAAGTCCACGGAAGTTGCAGATAGTTAACACAAAGGTGTGTATATCCGGATATATTTTGTGGTTTTGTCTGACCCCAAGCTTTATCGTATCAGCGGCAATCCATGATATGCGAGCTTCTCTTTCCCTCGTCCATTCTGGCTGTCAAGCTCAACCGCAAGACTCTAGTAATAGTACTAGAAGTTGAAATTTACATATATGATATCTCCAATATGCGGCTCCTCCACGTCATAGAGACGACAGCAAATCCAGAAGGTGAGTATGTTCTTCACTATGACCTCATAATCCAGTGTCGATGAAGACGCTTTTCAGCCATTTGTGCACTATCACCTTCAGCTGAAAACTCGTATCTCGCCTACCCATCTCCAGTCCCTTCTCCAACTTCTGTGCTAACCAATCAGGCTTCGAATTCCACACGGCCGCCTTCCTCTACCCAACAATCGGGTGACGTCCTGTTGTTCTCTACACGCTCGCTGACAGTAGCCAATGTCATCCAAGCTCACAAGGCGCCTATATCTTTCCTTTCTATCAACTCGACAGGAACACTTTTGGCAACGTCATCGGACAAAGGCACTGTTATTCGTGTGTGGAGTATTCCTGGTGCAGAGAAGTTGTATCAGTTCCGGCGGGGTACACGAGAAGCAAGGATATATTCCATCAACTTTAATGTTGTCTCTAGCCTTTTGGCTGTCAGTTCTGCGCATGATACCGTTCATATCTTCAAGCTTGGTCCTCAAAAAGCCTCGTCGAGTAAAAGTACCCAGCAGCCATCAAGTCCATCTGAATCCTTTGACAATGAAGGCACGCAGGCATTGGAAGGAGGTTATGAGGCGTTCATCGATGAACGGAGAAAAAGTGGTGGAGTATCGTGGGTGTAGTTTCCTTTGACATTCATCCAGCATTTACTGACAGCACCTCAGTTCGAGCCTTCGTCGCAAATCAATGCAGATGACGAAAAGCCTGTCGCACTCTGTGGGTGGCTATTTACCAAACACACTGACGGAGATGTGGGAGCCATCGCGTGATTTCGCATTTCTGAGGTTGCCGACTAGCGGTGCGCATTGTATAGTGGCTCTGAGCGGGTGAGTTTGGCCTGGTCAATCAAGACCATTACATCTGCTAATATCGTGCATGTATTTAAGGACACTACCACAAGTGATGGTGATCTCATCTGAAGGCTACTTCTACTCATATAATATTGATTTGGAGAACGGTGGAGAATGTTCTCTTATGAAGCAATACAGGTTTGTCCTGTCAATTCCTGCTTTTCTTGCTGACCCATCGTCCACTGGACAGTTTACTGGATTCTTTGGACGAAACTTCCGGTATGATGGATGGTTAGAGTACCGGCCATTATTTGAGGGCATTATTTCCTTGCTTCCGCTGAGGTGTATAATCTACATCACGAGTTACTGGGCACCGAGAATTATACATTATAGCGGTTACTGTACTATTGAGAGAATGCGTGTACACACCTTAGTCAAAATTCCAAGTTGGTGCCATGAAAGAGTTTGTTACTTACCGTAAGAGGTCTGTATCATGTTATTTGCCGGTTATAACCGGAAGCATGCATATGTCCGCTTGACGCGTGTTTCAGGCAAGCGAGTTCACCGCAGACTCACCTTTTCGTCTTTAACCTGGTTTCTGGGACCCGCCCTTTCTCATTGCGCAAGCGGAGGTAACGCCTTTGTATCGATCTAGCATTTTATCGCCCTACGACACCGTCAAAAGTGTACTTTTGCCTGCTACCGATTTGTATCCAAAGCCACCACGATGGAGAGCTTTTCGTGGTCTGACAGCCTTCGCGCCGCCTTCACCTCTTGTCTTCCATGTCTCGGTGGTACCGCAGAGGTCGATCCTCCACCCCGCATCGACAATCCTGCCAGAGATCGCTCATACAGAGCTCACTCCGACGAGCTCGAGGGGCTTTTGCAGGACGCAGATACCGACACAGAAGCCGAGACGCTCTCGCTCCACTCCAACTTCGGTACAGAGCGACATCATGGCAGACGAAACCGCCGCGGTATGAAGCGCATCACGCTTTTTGGATGGACCCTCTTTGGCCGTCCGCCCATCCGCTTGCCCGATGAGGACGAGGAGGACGGGTTGTTGAGGCGCCGCAGGCGTCTGGCCACTACGTCGTCTTCGACGCTTGATTCGGACGCTGCGCCCCTCGACTCGTCAGCCATTGCCAGCCTGTCGTCGGCGGAGCTTGCAGCGCGGGCTGTGGCTATTGAAGAAGAGGAGCGACGGAGGAAGGAGGAGAGGAAGGGGAAGAGGCGAGAGTTGAAAGAGCGGAAACGAGCGTTGATGGCATTGACTTTGGAGGGTGGCACTGGAGAGGATTTCCAGGGCTTCCCGGGAAGCGGACATGGAACTGGGTCATCGTTGCCTTTGCCTACGGATGACTTTGGGCCGTTTGTGAAGGGACAATCTGAGGTGGCAGGCAGGATGGACGACGAGGACGACGAGGAAGCCGATCTAGGGGGAGAGCTGTATACACGGAAGACAGCGCCTTCCGGAGCATCGAACAGCTCTGATTCACGCTCACGCACTTCCGCATCCTTGTCGAATGCCGACTCGGGCGCACAGTACAACCACCACCACCTCTCGCAGACCCACCTATCCGTTGGCGGTGCCGAGTCTGCATACGCGCAGGCACCGAAGAAGAAGAAGAAATCTAAATCTTCCAAGTCGCGCTCCTCGCACAAATCGTCGTCGTCGACATCGCAGTCCACTTCGCTGCACTCCCCTACACAGTCGTTCTCTATCTCTCCTGCTGTTGCGGGTGCACCGCTTCCCCACACTACGTCGCCTCTTGCTTTGTCTTCGCCTCAAGCTCTAGAATTCGACGGATTCTCCCAGGGTGATCGTGAGGCACGAGGGTTCCCGAGTGTTGGACTCACGGGGACGAGGGGGAAAGCGAGGGATATGGGCGTCTTCCTGGCTCACCGTGGCGACGCATGACATCGACCATGGTTACCCGTCCTCGTCCCTTCACAAAAGTGCATCTAACGCGATACCCTCAACTCCAGCAAACTATCCTGTCTCATAATTAATCATTCCTGCCACCTTTTTTCTGTGGATTTCTGTTATTCTGTTGCATCGGCTGTAGATCGAAAGATAGTGTGAAGAAGGTTTCAGAGCTGTTTAACGACCTCGACCCTGTTTTTGTTTGTCTTGCTATTATATGCAGAAATCATCTGTTGTTGTTGTTGTTATATGTCGCATGTTTTTTATTGGTAGCAAGAACAAGTTACTCGACAACAGAAAAGCAAAAGGTCCAGTGAGAATTTTGCAAACGATACAAATGTCCCGAGAAGATTACAAGGTATATCTAGAATACAGCGCGAGGGGGGAGGGGGAATCATCCTTACCGTTCAGTCTTATCCATCCTCTTCTCTTAGATGCAGGTGGTCACTTGGTCTCGAGTTTGACGAAGGACCTGCTTGGTTCTGTATCAACAACAATATCACGGTCATCAACAAGCCTGATCCATCCAAAGGACTGGCAAAAAACGCTTTCGCATTCCACGCACCTGTCGCAGCTTGGCGAGATGGATTTTGAGGGTCTCGGCATAGTTCTCGAAGCCGAGCGTCATCATGGCATACAGTATATCCTCCCCCCCGATCGTCTTCCGCTTCTCGAGCTGACACTTCTCAGCTGCCTCCGAGGTGATGAAACTGATAAACTCGGACACGCATTCCTGCACGCACTCCTTGGCGTCTTTGGCGATCTTTGCGGTGGACGGTACGGAGCCCTTCATGATGCGTGAGACGTTGGCGATCTGGCACAGATGGCAGGCGCTGCGTTAGTGTTTGGATAAAGAGACGCGGTATGGATAGCATGGTGATGATGATGATGATACGGGAAGAAGGGGAAGGGGAAGGGAAAGGGACGACTGATAACGCACAGGTAAAAACCTATCCTGCTCGCGATACTCCCCCACTTCTTGCTCCGTAATGGGCGCCGGCTCTGGGGCTTCCTGTGCAGCCGCCGTTTCTGGCACCAAGCCTGAGCCTGAGCCGTCTTCCTGCGGTGCGATCATGGGCTGGATTTCGGACATGGCAGCAGCGCAGGTTCGACGTTCGACGTTCGAGGGGGGTGGCGCCTCTCGTCAGTGAGAACGAAAGCGTCTGGAAATCTCTGGCTTTTTTTGCTACTTTGCACTTATACCCCGACCTTGGGAGCTCGAAGGGATGAAATTGAATTGGACAGGGCCACTTGTTCGCATTTTTGGACTGGTGTGATCATTTTCGGCGGTTTTGCATAATTGGGAATGGGTGTGGGAGTCAAGGTAAACCCTAACCTTGCGGCGTAGGTAAAAGCCCTTTCAAGTTCCTAGCCCACCATCAAAGACTCAACAACACACTAGTATCAGTTATACACATACCCCCCCCCCTCCAAACCCGTTTATCTCGAGCCGCGATGGACGACGACAGCGCCGAGATCGAGCTCGTGAGTCGCTTCACTTCACGACCGGCCGATACTACATTGATCCAGCACATCCCCATCCCCGTCATTAGCTAGAGCAGAACCTGAACAAGACGCGACTGATATCCCAACGCATGACATGTACGTCCCCCCCTCCCCTTGCGCTGCCCCCCTCACTCTAGCTAATCGAACGCTAGCCATATTGACCAGCTTCGATTCGCGGCTGGTGAAACTAGAAAAGTCGATACTGCCGCTGTACACCTCGACGCAGAAGCTGAAGTTGCGGGCTGGGAGTACGTGTCTGCGCCTACTCTTGCCTGTGCTCGTTCGGGCCTTTGGGCTTTGTGGCTCTGGTTCTGATATTGACGGCGGTGGGTAGATATCGATCGGGCGCTGTTGAAGATCGACGAGGTGGCGAGCAGTCAGGAGGGCGTGGCGGTGGAGGAGGCGCTCATACTGCGTGGGTGGGTCATCATTCTCCCATCCCCACACCAAATGCACGCATCGCTCAATGATTTCATTTATTGATCTTTGGATTTCGACTCACAGCCCGCAGCCAGGCCAATTGGACGAGTATAAGGACGGTTTGGAGCGTTTGAACGCTGCGATCGCATTCAAAGCATCTGCCGAGGATTCTCGCGATACGGTCAGTGTTTGTCAACACACACATCTATATATCTGTATTGTATCTTTTTGTGTTTGGTTGCTAAACACCACCCTCCACCAGGCCCGCCTCGTCGAAACAGGCGCCAAAAAGCTCACCCAGCTCTACACCAAACTCGTCGCCGAAGGCTCCTCCGGCTCCCCCTCCCTCGGCCTCGAATTCACCCCGCCCACCTTCCCCCCCTCCCTGCTCGCCTCCCTCCGCCCCCTCGTCGCCTTTCTGCGCACGCTCCCTCTGCCCTCGACGCATCCCTCCCATCCGGCGGCGCCGGGCATACTGGCGACGCTGAAGGAGGCGCAGAGGGGCTATGCGGATATGCGCGGGAATTGGAATAGGAGGGGGTTGGAGATGCATGGGAAGAGGGTGGTGGATCGGGCGGAGACGTTGGATGGGGTGGAGGCGGGGAGGGAGTTTGGGAGGTGGGTGGATCATTTGTTGGGTGTGGCGGAGGTGCGAGCGTTTTTTTGTAAACAAAGAAAAATAACAATTAATAAATGCAGATGGAATACACCCTCCTGGCGGATCTCGTGCCGCTGACGAGCGGTGTGGTGTTGGCGTCGACGTATGATACGTTGTTGGCCCCGCTGTTATCGCTCTTCACGGATACGCTCTCCTCGCTGACGTCCATCATCAAACGGTCCCTGCACAAATACACCTTCCTCGCGCTCTCGACGTACTCATCGCTCAGCGCCCTGCAGACGCGCTGGGAGGTCCTCTTGACGCGGCGAGCGAGCGCCGGTGCCGGTTCGGGATTGGGGGCACCGGAGACGCGGAGGGAGGCGACGAACGAGCTGAGGGACGGGTTGAGTGCGATCAGGGCTGTTTGCCTTCGCAGCTTCCCAGAGTTTTTGGCTGACTTGAAGATGGCGGCGATGGGCAAGGGGGGGGAGATGAGTACGGGGTTGGCGGATTTTACGGTGACGGTGAGTGAAGAGGTGTATTGAGCCTTGACTATTCAAATTTGACCACTTGACTTTTTGAATGGCTGTTGCAGACGGTGGAGTATATGAACCGGATCCCCGAGGTGCAAGAGGCGGTGGGGTCGGCGTTGGTGGGGTTGGGGGACGGGAATTGGAAGATGGGGGATGGGAAGCAGGTTGGGAAGGGGGGGAAGAGTGGTGGGGATGTGAATGGGCAGATTGTGATGGAGCATTACATTTGTGCGTCCTTCTTCGCTCTGTTCGCGAAGAGGGATCTGATGGGGAGATGGTAGACGACGTTGTGACGACGGTTCTGGCGAGCCTGACGACGGTGTCTCGAACGCAGAGACGGGGGGCGTTTGGGTCGATATTTTTATTGAACAATGTGTCTTATTTCCGGGACCAGGTGGATAGGCAGCCGTGGAACCCCTGCAGGCCCTCTTTGCTGTCGAAGCCGACGCAAGACGTCCTGAGCTCTGCGTTGCGGACTGCGAAAGCGGCGTACTTTGACTCGAACTTTTCGGCTTTGATGCAAACGCTGTCTGAAGACTCGCGGGAGAAGGTGGGTGGGAGTGCGTGGAAGGCGGGTGTGAAGGAGAAGTTTACGAGGTTTTATGATTTGTTGGAGGAGGTGAAGGAGAGGCATCGGCTTGTGAGGGTGTTGGAGGAGGATGGGGAGGGGAGGGAGAAGGTGGGGGAGGAGGTGGTGAAGTTGGTGGTGCCGGTGTTGCAGAGGTTTACGCAGAAGCAGAGGGAGAAGGAGTTTAGTAAGAGTGAGTGGCTGTGTTTTGTGCTGTGTGTTTTGGGGCTGATGGGTGGGCTTAGATCCGCAGAAATGTGAGTGGGGGTGTGTGTCGTTGGAACTGATACTCGATAC